TTTTTTTTTTTTTTACTTAGCTTTCACCTTTACGTTTATGATGCTTTATGGGAAATATATTGTAAAGAAATTAAAATAAAACTGTTAAGAGTGACATTAAATTTCATATTTCTTAAGAAAGGTATCTAATTAATTTATAGGTACCTTTCTTATGAAATTTTATCAGAATTGTACATAAAATACTATAATTTTATGTACATTTATTACATTCTACTGTTATTTGTATTTGCATTCATTTTATTATTAATTTTGATATTTCATTTATGGAAAAATGCCGTAACTGAGATTAATATAAAAATAAGATCATATAAATTTCATAAGATGATACTGATACTTGTAGGTACCCTTCTCAGTTGAAATTGAAAAATCAAATTAACTTCTCCACACGTGTTTACGCAAAAAGTAAAGGCCTTAACAGCAGAGAACAATGCTTAACTCAAATAACGCAACTTAATTATATTCTGGTTGGTCTTCCGTATTTTATAATTACAGCTCAATTATAAGCCCAAAATTACATTTCTTAATTACTGGGGATCTTCTGATTAGTCAAAATGATACAATTTACAACGCGCTAAAAAAAGATCTATCTCATAAGGACACTTATGAAAGCCGATCTTGACTTTTTAACTAATTTTATAATATTTTAACAACTTAAATGTAAAATCTATTATAATTAATGAAATAACAAATAATTGTATTAAAAATTCATTTTTCATTGAAAAAAATTTTTTTTGCTTTCAGAAAATATTGTCCATATTCATAAAAACAACTAAAAGCAAATAAAAGCATTTGAAATTAAATAATATCTTTGTTTTATTGAGTTTTGTATGTTACAATTCAGAGCTGATTTTCAGGTACTGCGTATCCAATTAAAAAAAAAAAAAACATGATTTGCATTCCTCAAAGCCCTGTGCTTTTAATTATTGTAATCACTAAAACCGATCGATCAATTTCTAGCGTTTTCATAAAATTAGTTATGGGGGGTAATAAATATTTTTAAAAATATTTCTACCATGACTTTCATAAAAAACATTTTATAATAATTTCGATCATCTGTGAATAGTTCCTGAAAGTTTCATTAACATCCGATAATTATTTCTATTTTTGCACGATTTTTCAAATTAATGTGTGTCATACCAAAAAAACGTGCTAAAAATTGTCTATGTTATTTACTAGTTCTGCTGATACAAATAGAAAAAAGGTTTTTTTAATCAAAATTTAGAATGTTCTAAAAAGAAGGAAAATTTTTTAAAAATAATTAAAAAAAAAACTTTGGTCTTTCCTCTTAATAATAACATAAGCATTTAGACAATAAAATTTAGTTTTCGGCAAGGTTGGCGTCTTTTTCATCAAGCTATGCTCTTTTTTTAGCGATTTCGTGGAGGTACCTATATTAAGATTATAAAAATTGGAGCCCAGGGAAGAAATTGTTTTGATAAACTAATTACAGCATTTCATTCAAATAATAACTAAAAATTTAGACAACTTCCTTATAAAATGAAGAAGAAATATCAAAATATGTTAAGCGATCTTGTTTATTTCAGGCTTTTGAGCCATTATTTTATGCCTGTATCTTTTCATTCTAGTAAGAAATTTTTATTTGTTTTCACTTTCATTGATAAAATTATTGAAATTGAATAATTTCAAGAAAATGTGCTTTCAATCCTGTTTGTATGATGCTTGTATTGTTGAATTTTAAATGAAACAAATCTTAAAGATCCAGGAAATAATTACATAATTTTTAGCCTTTTTTGTTTGTCATTACATTTTAATGTATAGACTTTGATTTTAATCAGTTGATAATATCAGGTAACATTTCAATTACAGTACTTGTACTGATTAACTGAGATTTTTCTGTTCTGCTAACATTTCCATAAGAAGTGATGAATAGTAAATTAATCAAATGTGCATGAAAACAACCCCAGACCATTGAATGCCTCTGCTTTACGCTGTTCCTAATTACTCTTGAGCCAACTGTAATATCTGTCAGATTTTTCCTGTATATAAAGTTATGATTAAAAATTTTCATAATGGAAACTGTATGAGAATCATCTTAAATACTGCATGACCATTTTATAGGACTTAATGTGCCATTATCAGAATCAGAACTTTGGATATATGATTGAAGGCTATAAGAATATCCTTACATTATTTAGCACTACCTGATTACCATATAGGAGTTGATGTGCCATATGATTTTTATATTTTTATAGAGTTGGTATTTTAAGAATTTAAAAAAAAAAAAAAAAAAAAACAAAAAATAAACTGTGTTTAAAGACTAAAATGCATCCAAGCAAGCAAAGAAGGAAATAAGCATTTAATGGAAATAGGAACAGTCAAGGGCAGGAAGCAAAACTTAACATTGAATGATGAATGCAGAAGTATTGGACTAATTACTCAAGCCAAATTTTGTTTGACTTCTAGTAATCACTTGTAATTTGGAAACACAACATTCATTTGTACTTTATCAACAACTAGGGAGAATGCTGGATAATTCCTCTTTCACAATCAATTTCATACATTTGGACTTTACAAATATTAACTTACCTATGACTCATATTTTTCTTGTGTGTGAGATATATGAGCATGAAACTCTTGTTATGACTAGTGTAATTCTTTCATTGGATTTAATGTTGGTAAGCGTCTTTTGCTCTGTCAAGGTAATCTATGCTTTGAGCATTTTACTTTACTGGGTAAGTAGTTTTGCCTTTTCTTTTTACTGTATTGTCATTTTTGTTGGAGACTTTATCTGGATAACAATTTTAGGTCTTGACAAGTTGTCCATTTGTTCCATCAATAGTTTTGGTTTTTCTTTAATATATATATATATATATATATATATATATATAATAATCCACACTCAACAAAATTACATTTCAAACCAGTCATAGCATATTAAAATGCATTTAAACATATGGTTCTGTTGATAATATTTCTTTCTCTCATGTTGTCATGTACGACATAGAACCGCATTATGAATTTACGACTTGCATCTGCTGTTCCACAAACGCTATCATCGCATAGCAAATTTCTATGTAAAAAAAAAATGGGATTTGTTTTCTCATATTTTTTCAGTTTCAAATGAATGTTGATTTCATTTTTCTAATTGTTGTATGGTCGATTATATAATGCATGACATGTTTATAATATATCATTCTCAAAGAAAATTGAAGTGATTTTTATCAGTAGTCATTATAATTAAATATTAGTAATCTGATATAATTGTGTATACACATGAGAGTGTACTGAAAAATTCATAGACTATAAAGGAATGATGCTAGAGCTATAAAGTCTTGTAGGCATTAATTTCAACTCATTAATAATGGTACTGTTTCTTTCCAGATAAACTGACATCTGACTGTTCAAAGAAGACTGTTCATCCTGTTGGTCAAAAAATAGATATGATGATTATCACTGTGATACTGGTTCTCATCCAAGTGTTTTCTTTGTTGGAGAATAGGGACGGCTTTGATCAAAGCTACAGTCATGCACAGCAGCCATTGAAACCAAAGACTTGTGTGCTGGAGCTTTGTCCTGATGAAGCAAGAACCCTTTTTTCAGTTTTCTTGCACATTTTGTCTTGATGTGGTCTTTTTGAAGATAATAAACCCAATACCTTCTGTATCCAAAAAAAAACGAAGTCATCATCTTTCCTGAAGATGAAATGACCATGGCCTTCTTTGGAGCAAATGAGGAGTGGTTGTTTCCACTGCAAGGATTGGCTTTGTCTCTGGCTCAAAATGATGAAACCAACTCTCATCTTGAGTTAGGAAACATTCAAGGAAACCAGCTGGATCTGCCTCAAACAATAACAGATTTCCCTGTGATGTAATCAGTCTGGTTCACTTTTGATCAGGTGTCAGAAGAGGTGGCACCCACAGAGTAGAAACCAAAGTTCATGATGCAGAATATTTTCAACTCTCTCACAGGATATACTAATAGCATTGGCTATTTCATTTATAGTCAATCACCCATCTTCCATCATCATGTGGTTAACAAGATCTATGTTTTCCTTGGTGGTGGCAGTTTCAGGATATCCAGACTTTGGGTCATCTTCAAAACTATCCCTTCCCCTCCTAAATTCAGCTGCACATTTTTCCACTGTAGCATCATCCCCCTAATGTAGCAAACCTGTCAGCATGAATGTCCTTGAGGGCTAAACCCTTTTTCTGCAGGTACTTGATAACACCATGATGCCAAATTTTGTCCATTTTCAAGAGAAGTCACTACTAGTTACTTTTTGGAATATTCTTTGAACTGTTAGATGTAAGTTTCCTTGGAAAGAATCAATGTAGTTATTCATAAGAAGTGTTGAAATTAATGCATGCAAGATTTCATAGCTCTAGCATCATTCCTTCATAGTCAGCCTATGAACTTTTCACCCCACCCTTTATTTATGTTTACCAAATATGAAAAATATACAACTTTAAGATATATATCAGACCAATAGTGGGTAATTGAATGACAAAATTGAAAAAAAAAAAAAAAAAAAAACTTCTGCATTATATGTTTTAACCTTCAAAACTACTTCTTCAGACTAATAATGGTTTTATTGATGGAATCTTATCTATGTAGTCAGGATGTATGACATACAACAAACACTGGTTACAATTCTACATTGAGAAACATTGAAGATACAGGGATTCTTAGCTATAAATTTAAATACTTAAAAATATAATATATGTATGTTCTATGCAGTGCTTATCCAGCTAAGAAGGGAGATTTTAAATCTGCTGTTGGGTCATTTGTTCAGATTTAGAAAAGGGGATAGGCTAAGAATGTTTTGGTAACATCCCCTCACTTGCACACACGTATATCTATATTTGACTTCTGATAATTACTAATTAGCTTTTGTCGTTTAAAGTTCATATCAATGGTGCATTTACTTTTGTAAATTTCCTTAATCTGCATTCTAATTAAGGCATAGTTCATTTTAAACTCTTGATAATGAATTTATTGATGTGACAATCTTCTCAAATTTGTATTTCTTTTCAGTTAAGGCTCACAAACCTTTTGGTCTCCTTTCCAAAGATTTTCATCAAACGATTACACAGGTAATTTCCCTCCATTTGCAACATTTATATCCCTTATATGATCATTTGTAACATCTGTAAAGGCCTTTTGATATTATAACAGCTAGAATTAGAATACCTCTTCTGCATTGTTCTTTGGGATATTCAAATGTCTATAAATGTGCAACAAAATCTCTTGCATTGTTATTCTAGACATATCATTTTAATTTCTATTTACCTTGAAAAAGTGTGTGCAGTCTGTCTTATAAAATACTTGTCATTCCATGCTACATTCAAGTATTTTAATTAAAAATAATCTTTATTTTCTTTTCTTCCAAAGAGGATGACTTTGATTGATATCTACTTAAAAATTTATTTTACTTCAATTTCAAACTTCACATGATTGTTTTAACAAATATATTTGTACATGGATCTCTTTATTCAGATGTCATGTTATCCTTTATTTAACCTTTTCACTGTTAGAATTTTTTTTTTTAAAGTCAGTTTTGTAAACTGTTTTTGGCAAGAGTATTATCTGTTTAAAAATATATATATCTTGTTTTGATGCATCAATGTTTTATTGTCATTACATAAGTGTATTGGAAAAAGTAATCCTGTTACTGTCTTTCTTAAATATTTCTGTGTAATTCTAGCAGATCATATAATTTAACCAAGTTGTGACAGCTGGGCAGTGAAAAAAAACATGGATTACAAAAGAACATATTGAAATTTATGTAACTTATGTTTCTTACAGCAGTTACAAGTTTAACTGTAGCCTTTGGAGATACAAATATTTAAATTTTGTGTAAACAAAAGAAAATAGAAAATTTATTGATTATCTTCATTTACTAGTGAGTTCTACAGAAATTCCATGGTGTATTTTTGCAGTGTAGTAATCATAATACAATAGAGCAAAGATTTATATACCTTGCTATTTGGACCATCCCTCTCATCTTGGTTGTTATATTCCCAATGTTTCGGCCATTGTAGCTTCTGGCCTTCTTCAGTTGCTTGTCTTTGTACTCAGTAACTTTCTTAGAATTTCAAATTGAGCCCATTATTCAATCCACAGGGGTAGATTGCTTTCATTCTACTTTTCAGATATATGGGATTTTTTGTATCAGTTAGTATTCTCCAGTCTTATTTACTTGTTTGTTTCTTCTATTTGATTAGTGTATATGACTTTTTGGCACTACCAGACCCAGGAATTGAACTCCAAATTGTTCAGGAACACAATGTTTTAACCAATACTTCAATCCACTAATGCCACATTTGTCTTTAGTTAAATTTATTCAAGTGATACATTGGCTAGTGGATTAAATTATGAAATTATTTTATTGTATATTATTATTATTACAGAGAACGAGTTGCCTTGAAATCTTGGAAGACACCAATCCCTGATTCTCACAAGTTAACTGATGAAGATGTGACACGATTTGTAAAGAGCATGCAACCTGTTGTGTTCATGGCAATGTTTAGCAAGTTTGGCAGCCATGATGCCTCTGTTGCCCTCAAGCACCTTGCCTCGATGCGACCTGAGATTATTGTGCCTCCACTATTAGAAAAGTGAGTCTTTGCTTTAGATCACTATAATGCCTGGTTCAGCAGAGTGAAGTTAATATAGAATGGGCTTATAGGAATGAAGAAAACCTTGAAAAGTTTTAAGAAATTTATGTTATAATAATTTTTGCACAACCTAATTTGAGCCAAAAACTATATATTTTCAGCATGTGTATATATATATATATATATATATATATATATATATATATATATATGGTACTTATTGGAAAGCGCTCAAGAGCTAACATTTAGCTGGATTGATGTGAGTTTGTCACGCTGGGTTTCACGCTCTTTGTGATTGTCAGACAAGTTTGTCTGATTACAAAGAGCGTAAAACCCAGGGTCACAAACTCATATCAATCAACTAATATATATATATATATATATATATATATATATATATATATATATGTAATGTTTTTGTAATGATATAGTCATGTTTTCTGTTTTGGATTCTTAATTTAGTTGAATAAACCTGTATGAAATTAATGTAATTTTCTTGATCACTTATATCAATAGTTCCAAAACTTTTTCTCACTGGGTTGCATTTTCGGAATTAAAATTTGCTCACGCCTCACCAAATTTTATGTGATAAAAGAAACATTTAAAAATTTAAAAACAGAGGCTTAAATGAAGATAACTGTGGATTTCAAGTCAGGATATTATCATTGATAACTCTCTCCTCCAATTTGCAAACCCTAGTTACTATATTCTTAAAACTTGATATAATGCAAAAATATCATAGTTGTTTAATAATTATTTATATTAGGACTTGTGCATGCAATTACAAGTAATCCATAATATTTTAAATTTGAAATCATTTACTTTTTGGCATATGAATTTTTTGAAACTGTTTCTAAATCTTTGATTGTCTTTCAATCATTATGCCTCACCTCCTATTCTCTTTTGCCACACATATGAAGTGTGCTGCATCATTTGAGAACCACTGACTTAGATGAATGCCAAAGCTTTGATGATGATAAGATTGATGTTTCTGCTAATGTATTTGATTACATCTTTATACGCGAGAAGATGTTTGATGATACAATGTCAACTTTGGACAGTATTTAAAATTTGCAATAATTCTATGATGGCCCTTTATACATTATCTCAATAACAACAAAAACCAGACAAAACTGTCAAGATGTGCAGAATCAGCAGAGAATCTGAATTTCAAAGTTTGGATAAAGGTAGATATGCCAAAGCATAGTACTGGGTTTGTCATTCAAAACAAAGCCCAAAAATGGCTGCTGGTAACAAAAGAATTTACCTGTGGCTGCTAAATTGCATCTGGACAAGTTGAAGAATAAGACCAATCAGATTTACCATTCAATACTTTCGTATAAAAATTTCTGTCAAAGAAATTAGGGAGCCAACTTTTGATAATGAGATTTGCTCTGAAGTTGCTGGGTTAAGAAATCATGACATACCTTTTCTGTCTGGAAAGGCTCTCCTAAGTGATGTCAAACTTTTTCAGTGATGTCCTTCTTAATGGAGTTTTTGTTTTTTATTATCAGGACTAGAGGTTATGTACTTTAATTCAGAATGGATAATACCTCCTAGACTATGTATATCTAACTTATAACTATATGGTTTGGGCAGTTCAATGTGGTGTAATGGTCAGCAAGCTTGTCTCGCTTGGTCAGTTCGATCCTCACTGAGTGACCCCTTCTAAGCTTGGTAGATGGCTATAACTATATAGCGACTGCTGTTTAAAGGGAGATAAGTGAGGAATCAAATTTGGACAAAAGATGTTTTGTTGTCGAACAGTTAATTGATTTAACCTTTTGCCATTTTACTAAGTTTAATTTTACTTACAGAAAGCTTAAACATTATTTTCAAAGGATCTCATGCCTCTTATTATTGCCAGCCAATATCCTTTTGGATTCATATGCAAGGAAACTAACTCAAAAAGTGGCACTATGTATCTTCAGAAAATATTGTATTGCAACGCAGATACCATTCACTCCAGCTGCAGAGCTTTTTTACATTGCAAACTTTTATGACCTTTCTTATAAATTTAGAACCAACGAAGCATGTATGACTTTTGCAATCATGACTACCTGACCAGATTTACAAGGATGGGCTGTGTATATTGCAGATTCAAAATCTATTCTATTTGCTTGGTGGAGTGAACTCTTTGATAAGGCTTTTCATGTGGCATGTTTGTTACACTAGAAGTTCTTTTCTTTTTTCCAATTTGTGCAAACTTTTTTTTATATCATCATCATCTGTAAACTATAGATGATTCACCCTGGCCAAAGAATTTAAGCTAGTTTGACCAGGATGACAAAATTGTTTGTGCATACATTATAAAATATGTTCAGCTTCTGGCTTTATACAATATATTATATGAATAAGATCCAAGTTCAAGTCTCCACCTTTGCATTTTATCATAGTTTTTCCCTCTAGAATTTCTGTAATTGAACATGTATGATGCCACCTTCTGATCTATGCAGCTAGGTGAAAATATAAACCACTTTTTATTTTTTTTATCATTTACAGAATGTATCCTGCAATGGAAACATTGACAGAACCTCATAGGCTAATTGCTTGCATGACATGTATTGTTGGTGTGTGCCGTCCAATGTTAAGGGCTAAGAAATGGTACCCTGAAGGTCCCTTGCACATTTTGCCCTTGCTCAACCTCTCCTTGCCTGGCATTGATTCAAATGACTTTAAAAAATCTGTGGTAAGTGTCTTCTTTCATAAATCATCATTCTCTTGAAGTGATTATGTTTTCCAAACTTCTCTATCATAAAATGTTGTAAAAAGCATTTTTTTGTTCACTTTGCATTCCTTTTTAAGAAAAGGTTTGAAGTTTAAAATGAACTTGGAACTATTTTATGAATGAATTTTGACGAATGTTTAACAAGATGAAGAAAAATGTCATTTTAGTTCAAATGTGAGATTTCTGTTTTGTAAATTGCACATAAATTGTCTGTCCCCTCAGCAATCCTTTGCTGTCTTTTGCAGATGACATTCCAAATGATTTCCACATTTGTTTCTTTGGTGCCACTTGTTGATTGTTCAAATGCTATTCACTTACGAGATGATCTCACTGAAGTAAGGATGATGTTTTGATTTTTTTTTTTTTTTTTTTTTTTTTTCAGCATTTTAAAATAATTTGGTGTCCATAAAATTTGAATCTCTTTGATTTTCAAGAAAAATTTATTTATCTATTTTTTTTTGTCTCACTATTTGATCCGATTTTTGACAGTTTTTGAAATGACTCAACAAAAATGCATAAGCTTTGATTTTGGGCACAAATGTAACTTAATGCTCATTTTGTTTTGTATTTGACTCTTAAATAAGGATCAGAAATATTTCTCTGTATTTTACATGATGTGGAAATTTGGTTATGGATTGTTTCTGTTATAATAAACTTTAGTGTATGTTTGTTTTTGTTCTTGAAATATTAACATTCATTTATTTACTTTTTGTCAGGTTGAAAAAGAGATCTGCTCTGCTAGTGCACAGTTTGAAGATTTTGTGCTGCAGTTCATGCACAGGTAAATTTTGTTTTTAAAAGAAACACTCTTTTAACAAAATAGTAATTCACTGTACTCAGTAAAGTCTTTCAAGCACAATAATTTGTTTTAATTGTCTTTAAAAAAAAAAAAAAAGCAGCAAGGTTTTTGAGCCTTTGAAGTTTTCCATGCTACCTAGTGAAATTAACACCATTTCCTTTTAATCTCACCTTGTCAAGTGATGATTAGTAAGAAATAGGTATTTGATTTTACAGCATGCCGTTAGATCATTTCCCTTAGCAGCTATGCGCTAGCCCAACATACTTGAGCACTTTAAGTTGACACTCGTTATCAATGAATGGCTTTTTCATTAGTAACCTTGCATTAATGTTTTTCAGATTTTCCACAAAGTTGCTTTTCCTCTGCATGTTGATACAGCATTACATCAATATGCAGAAATTTCCTAAAATGGTGACGAGATTAAAAGCAACCTTTATATTCTCTCACACAGACACATACCTTTAGTATCTCAACACATATCTTTCAAAATTGCACTATAAAAAAAGAACTTCATTTTTTATTAATTTGTTTATATCATTAAAGAATTGATTTTGGGAGGTGCTTATTTCTCTTATTTTTTTTTTTTTTTGTACTTTTTTCAAGGTATCATAAATTAATAAAAAGTGTGTGTGATTGAGAAGTTATAATAGTAAATAGGAAAAATTGAATGCATTTTAATTTTTTAATTCAATAAAATCACCCTTACATGCTTGTCAGGTAGTTCTCATTCAAGTTAGCCATCACATCTACAAAGGTAGAATCTTTGTTAATATTAGACTGCTAGTTGATTTTTTATGATGGCCCAGATATTGTCTTTCAAGGTTATTCAAATTGAGAGATCATTGGAGAATGATCAGAAGCATATTGGCTTGTTCAGTAATTTCATGGATTACATCCCAGGTTTCTCCTCATCATGTAGGATTTGTACCTGATACCCTTGTGCACTACATGTCTGATAATGGACTATGCCACCTTGAGCTGCTCAGTGATAACTTTTGACTTACTGAGATGCTGCTTAATGATGTCCCACTGCATGAACTTAGCCATTCTCATACCTGACTGCTTGGAATCTTTCTTTCTCTTGACCACAGATTAGAGGTTCTCACCAGAGATCTTCAGCTCCTTCCTGACTTTGAAAGACCTACCAGCAATGTTGTTGTGTTTAACAGAAGCCAGTTGCCATTTCATTTTCTGTGTCAGATTGAAAGCTGCCAAGTTAATGTCATTACATCTGGAAAGAGAAATGAGAAGGTTATAATTTAGCATCAACCACATAACATTATATTAGACTTCTATTTATGGCCCACAAAAGAGATGTTCTAAAATACTTGGCCATATCCTGTATGTAAAGATTTTACAGGGCTATAGGCTGTCAAAATACTCCCTTTTTGAAAGTTTTGTGCTCAAGCTGTGATTGTCCTAATTTTGAAAATTCATTTTAATAAGCATACCTTCCCATTGAAACTTGCAGTTTTAGCTAAGATTTCATTTTCTTTGTCACTATTATTCACTTACTAATTTTTTAAAAATTTTTTGTTACTATTTAGTCTTTATGCTGAATATGTCAATATAACAACAAAAAAAAACCTTTCAATTTGCTGAGAAATCTGGCAATTCCTGAAAATAGAAAAAAATAATTTTTAAAAATATTCTTTCAAAGGGACAGAATTAATAAAACTTGTTTATCTTTTCAGGGGCTTTTCTCTGATTGAGAACAATGCCCAAGAAGAACAGCATGGACATACAAGTTCAGCACAGGACAACCTTAATCCTGAACAGACATTACTTGAAGTTGGTCTCTCGTCAACTTTTAAATCAATTCTTGAACAATGCTCTACACCCATTTTTGAGGTAAGCCTGCAGACATATTCTTGTTTCTATCATTAAACCTGTTGGAATATTTTGCTGCATTGCCATTAGTGTTGTATGCTCAACATTAGGTGCCCATTGTTAAAAACCTTTTTAAATTCTAACTCACTTTCTGTCACTCTTATGCTTTGCAAAAGATTGTCCAGTCACTCTTACTCTAATAACATGTAAGGAGAATTAAAATTAAAAGTTATTATTTGATTCAATTTTCATTTTCTGAACTAATAAAAATTTCTTTATTTTTGCTTTAACTCTTTCTATAATTTTATGTACATAATTTTTAAAAAATTAAGAAAAGTGTTTTTATCTTTAATTTCAGTCAGCCTTATCCTGCCTCTTCAACTTTGTGAGCAATACTTACTATGAAACCCATGTTGGGGGTAGGTTTGTGGCTAACCTTTGTAAATCTGCTGTTAAGGTACTGACTCTCTTAAGTTTTCTTTTCTTTCTTTTTTTGCTTACCCATCATTCACTAAGAGATCATTTAGATCATTTTTAATTTTTTGTAGTTGCTCATGCAATTTCTTTTTATATTTGATTTGAAATTAAGAACCAAGAAATTTGCTTTGTCATAAGTTTATTACAAGTGACAAAATGATGATCTTAGTTGCTAAAAACTTTTTTGAGTATCATTTTGTCATTTTTTCATCTTTTGTATGAGAACTGATAACAGAAATTTTCTGTCTTATAAAGTAACAGAGAGACATTGTTTGCTATTCATCCATGCTGGAATAATGTCTGAAATTTTATGACCCATATCAATGTCAAAATCTTTTTTTTTTTTTTTTTTAATAAACAAATTTAAAGAATATTTATAATCTGTGGGTTTTTATTATTATTATTTCCTTTTGATTTCTGGTGTATACTCATTTCTTTCCGGGTCCCAACCAGTAACCTAAGGTCAGAAATGACATGACATTTTCCACTGAGTATTTTTTTTGGGAAAAAAAAAAAAACAAACTTTGCAAACATTTTACATAGATAAATCCATTTGTAAGGTGATCTGTACTTGTGAGTACAATTATTTGTATTTCTTTAAGGCATAGGCTACCAGGGATCATTTATTATTATTATTATTATTATTATTAGTAGTAGTAGTATAAAAAGTAGTATTATTAATGCAATTAGAAATATGCATGTCTTACAAGTAGTAGTAGTTATGGTTGCCATCTGTTAGATTCTGTTATATCTTGCATGTTATTTCCTTTGTTGGTTTTCATCTCTTCCAAGTATCATGTAGCAGGTTTATATTTGATTACATTTTGACAGTAACATAGAATCATATTTTTTACTTGACTTAGAACTAGGCAGGTAATTATAAGAGACTGGATTGCTCATGTAGTCATCCACTCATCATTTTCTCTTGACCATTATAGCCTACCAATGACAAGATCATTGTCAAGATGACTGAGCATAAGATAAAGCATAGGGAAAGTTGGATTCATTCCTTATCTTTTAGCATTTATATTAAACTTGTATAAACAGTGGTGATAAGAATTCCAAATGTTAATTTTATGCTATTTTTACAGTTAATAACGACTGTCATTTCACTCTGGCAGAAATATATGTATAAAAATATTTCCGAGTCATTATATTTATAGCTTTGTGTTCAGGCTGTGATTATGTCTACTTGCGCACTGAATTATATAATTACTATTTACAAACATTGTTAGTTTCCACTAATAGTTAATAAAGATTTGTCATATTTCCCTTACCACCATCAAAAAACACTTCTTTTTTTTTCTTGTTTTTATGTTGTCTTTTTTATTCCAGGTAAACACAGAAAAGTCTCTTCGCTTATTTATTCCCCACTTTACAGGCAACATCCGGCGACTGATTGCTGCTAGTGAGTTTTTCCCTTTCTGCATTTACTTTTTAAATTTCTATTTAGTGAAAGCTGATATTTTTGTAAGGATTTCTTAATGTATAAAACATAAGTAATATACATAAGTTGGGCTGTTTGACAGAATACCATAATTTATACAATGCAAAATGTATGGGTGTACAAGACACTTCCTCTGTCCTGTTCAAGTGAAATATTTAAAATAAAGAAATTACTGATAAAATGGTAACAAAAGATAGTTGTTACTATTTAAAACAGTAATATAAAAAAAGGCGATCGCTGCTTTATTTGATATCAATGATAAGATGTATAATCAGGCATAAGATGTTCATATAAAAAAATTAAAAATAGATATTACTTGTGCTATAATTTTGTTAAAACATTTTCTCAGATATATATATTAGTGCAACGTAGATGTTCACAGAATGATTATCCTTAAATATAATACGCCATATATATATAAATAATGTGTGTGTGTTTTTTGTTGTTGTTTTTTTCTTTTGTGTGTAACAATTGAGGGGTAGTGTGCAAAAGACCCCATTCATGTCCATGCACAAAAAGCTAACTGCAAAGCAATCTCCTTTCCCTCTCTCTTTGCACAAATTGGCGAGGGAGGGTGCAATGAACTACAAAGAGAACCACTCCCTAGGTCAACACAGTTCACAGAAAGAACTAAATTGTATCAACAAAAAAAAAAAATATTGTATATAAAAACACAAGTAAAAGTGAACAGTTTTGGGAACTTTTGCAGTAAAAAAAAAAAATTTGTTTGTAAATATGTAACATTTATGAGGATAAAATACAGATATCTTTCCTGAGTTGTTTATAAATTGTACACTGTTCAATTATTAACATTAACAACAAACTATTTTAAATCACAATTGTACATGGATTATATGAAAATTACTTAGAATATAATACGTATTATTTAAAATACATTCTTAACGTCAGTTTTGATGGCATGGGTACACTAGTATCAATATAAATGATATTTTTAAGATATTAATGTCAATTTGTAACCAGCATTTACATTTTAATTTTTCTGCTTTCCAAACTCCCAAACTAGTCTTAATTTCTGATATCTCCCATTTTTTCCAAATATTACAAGTAATAAAAACTAAAAAGAAGCATTAAGGATAAACACTTTCATTTTTGTAAATGAAGCAGTTGCTTTACAATAATTTATTATTTATTTCAGATGAAGATTTGAAAAATGAAGAAAAACTTGATGTTGAGTTTCTTTGGAATATTCTCATGTTATCTCAAGTGAGTGTCTTATATTCATCATTATTTTTTTTTTTTTCATTTTCTGAAAATAACATTAACAACTTTCAGTATTTCACTGACATAAGCCAATGTCATTTTTGTCTCATTTACTATTGATTCTTAGTAAAAAATCTGTCACAGTTTTTCACAGATGAAAAAATGTAATATTAAGAGAAAGAATAGATATCAAAACATTAAACAATTCCTATTATAATAGATTATTGCCACATTAATAAAGCAATATTTCTAATTTCAATTTGTAATGGCAGTCAGAATTACTGAAGTGGTTTCAACGGAATTTATTTCCTTTGGCAGAAAACCTTTTAGTCTTATATTGAAATAAGGCTTTGTAATATGTTAGCATATGAATATGTGTATGCTAAAATATGTTAGCATATGAATATGTGTATGCTAAAATATGTTAGCATATGAATATGTGTATGCTAAAATATGTTAGCATATAATGTGTATGCTAAAATATGTTAGCATATGAATATGTGTATGCTAAAATATGTTATATGCTAAAATATGTTAGCATATAGATATGTGTATGCTAAAATATGTTAGCATATGAATATGTGTATGCTAAAATATATTAGCATATGAATATGTGTATGCTAAAATATGTTAGCATATGAATATGTGTATGCTAAAATATGTTATATGAATATATGTATATAAAATATGTTAAAATATGTGTATGCTAAAATATTTAAGATATGAATATGTGTATGCTAAAATATGTTAGCATATGAATATATGCTAAAATATGTTAATATGTGTATGCTAAAATATGTTAGCATATGAATATGTGTATGCTAAAATATGTTAGCATATGAATATGTGTATGCTAAAATATGTTAGCATATGAATATGTGTATGCTAAAATATGTTAGCATATGAATATGTGTATGCTAAAATATGTTAGCATATGAATATGTGTTAATATGAATATGTGTATGCTAAAATATGTTAGCATATGAATATGTATGCTAAAATATGTTAGCATATGAATGTGTATGTATGTTAGCATATATATAAAATAAAATATTAGCATATGAATATGTGTATGCTAAAATATATGTTAAAATATGTATGCTAAAATATGTTAGCATATGAATATGTGTATGCTAAAATATGTTAGCATATGTGTAAAAATATGTGAATATGTGTATGCTAAAATATGTTATATGAATATGTGTATGCTAAAATATGTTAATATGAATATGTGTATGCTAAAATATATATGAATATGTGTATGCTAAAATATATGAATATGTGTATGCTAAAATATGTTAGCTATGAATATATTTAGCATATGAATATGTATGCTAAAATATGTTAGCATATGAATATGTGTATACTAAAATATGTTAGCATATGTGTAAAAATATGTATGCTAAAATATGTTATTATGAATATATGAAAATATGTGTATGCTAAAATATGTTAGCATATGAATATGTGTATGCTAAAATATGTTATATGAATATGTGTATGCTAAAATATGTTAAATGAATATGTGTATGCTAAAATATTATGAATATATGTATGCTAAAATATGTTAATGTGTATGCTAAAATATGTTAGCATATGAATATGTGTATGCTAAAATATGTTAGATATGAATATGTGTATGTAAAAATTGTTAGCATATGAATATTGTTTAAAATATGTTAGCATATGAATTTTCCTTTTTAGCATATGAATATGTGTATGCTAAAATATGTTAGAATGAATATGAAAAATATGTTACTATGAATATGTGTATGCTAAAATATGTTAGCATATGAATAGGATTAGCATATGAAAAATATGATTTAGCTATGAATATTTATGCTAAAAATATGTTAGTATAAAATTTTTGAAATGTCTGTACCATGTTTAAATGTCTAAATTTTCCTTTTAATTCAGAAAATATCACTGAAAATTCTTAAAGACTGCTTTGATTGTACCATGGTCATAGCACTTTCTAATTTCTTACTTAAAGTGAATGTGTGGTACATGCAATAATTTTTAACTCCCATTTCTAAATCTGTTAATGGCAAAACATTTCATCTGTCTCTAAATAATAAGAGTGTTAAATTTTGCTGTGTTTGCTAACTAATCAAAGGTTTTGCTGGAAATGTACATTTTATGTAAGAAAATTATTCACGAGACTACAATATTCTGAAAAATGCCAAACTCTAAAAAAATAATCTTATCAATATATCTTATTAAGCCTACTGAATCAGACAGGATGTGCGTAGTCTTCAAAGGGAATGAGTGGTATTAAACAAATAGCAAGGTAGCCAATAAAATTGCACCTTTACCTGTAATTATTAGGGGTAGTTGTTGAAGAATGCTAGTAATTCATCAAACAAGTAAAAGCAAGAACACTGAAATTATTTAAATTTATCTATATAGAAAATGCTTAGAAATAAATGATTTCACATTTGAAAGAAAACAGCTTTTTTAATTTTACATTTTAAATCTCTATGTTCTTATATTCATAAGAACATATATTGCAAAGGCATGAAAAGATTATTTATGCTCAAACTGTCTCCACACATGGGAGCTTTTTATTGACATGTGTTAATCAAATTGTATTGTTTTGTTTGTTTCAAATATATTTGGTTGGAACAGAATTTGAACACATGATTTAGTTCCACACTTGACTGAAGTTAATGACATTTGTATATATTCTGAAAGGTGACATTTCAAGACATCTATATAATTTGCATTTGGATTGTGAATTTAAATGTTATGTTAAAAGTGAAAATGGAGGAAAATGAGATGCATTTTCATTATTTGATGTTCTTTTATTTCTGGAAAGTAAAACATGCTGTACAAACAGCAAAGAATATATGTGCCATTTATGGAGAGGGCGTCATGACTGAGAGTACTGTTCATAAGTGGTTATATTCAGCATATCTTATATGGGTGTTGTAAAACATTTAAAAACACTTGGATACGTGAATTGCTGTGGAGTTTCAGTACATCATAATTTAATGGGAAAAGATTTAATAAACTGCATTTCTGTCTGTGATTCTCTGTTTAAACACAACAAGATGATTCAGTTTTTGAACAAGAATGATCACTGGCAATAAAAAAATGAATTGTTTACAACAATAAATAGTGAAAATGGTCCCGGGTTGGGGGAATGAGCCACAATTCCACAAAAATGTATTTTTATCTTCTAAGAATTGGAAAGTTATGTTTTTTTGTTTTTTTTTTTTGGTTTAATGTCCCTCCTCTTATAAAGACAGACTTTCATCTTCATGCTTCATTTGACACTTTTATTGCCTCGTTAATAACCAGATCCTTTTTTTCATTGCAGGTGGTACGTTCCCCAGGTCAATATCTGTTGGTTTACAAAGAAGAATTGCTAGAGGTTTTGCTTGCAACTCTGGAATTAAAATGTGTTGAGGGCTATGAACATAGCACTAACATCCTACGATACCTGCTACGGTCTCTCACTAATATCTACCCACTGGACTATAGGAATGTCTCCTCAGATATTGACCAACCTATCACTGAATATTTGGCCATTAGAGTGAGTCTTAACTTTCTCTCAGCAACATCCATTCTCATTTTCCTTTTAAAGCAGATGAATTTGTAAACATTTTTTCTCTGATGAACAGAATTTTACTTCGTTCACATTTGCAAACTATTTTCTTGAGAGTAGATTGCTATGGAGGTGCATATTTTAAATTTCTTGTAGACGAATTTTTCTGTTATATCTATAAGTATTGCTTCCCAAACTTTATTTTTGCAAGTAGATTTTATTCTTTTTATATTTATCTCTCAATATAGGTGAAACTCTTTCATTAATAAATGTGTGTCAGTAAATGTAGGCATGACCACAGACTTTAATTGAAATTTTGAAATATATTGCAATAATTTAAATATCTTCTAATATTTTTCATTATATCTTCTTCAGTGAAAAAGATTCTTTACTTGTTTTTAATAAAAATGTTTATAATGCAAAACAATTTTATTCTGATAAACCAAGAAAAGTGGTAAGAAAAAATACTTTATTATTTTGTGTACCTTACAAAATCGTTATTGTTTTGCCCTTTGAAATTTCTTAGATAATATTTCCTTATTGTAACAAAAGAACATTTTAAGGGACAAATTAATTGGAGGATTTTTTTCACATTTTCATTTAGATGTTCAAAAAAAATTTGAAATAGATTATCATTTACTTTCATTTTATTGACATCTTTTGATAAAATATGCAAAAATACAGTGTGATTAAAAGCTATAGGGAGAGCAAATAAATTTCATACAATTTCTGAGCTTCTTTTCATTTATTTATTATTTTTTTTTACTAGTATCCTTATTTGGTTATTTTGTATCCCATGATTTTAATTTCATTTTCAAGAAGCTTTCATCCAGTTATTCTATTTTAGACAACAATATAGATTTCACTGGTATTTTGTTTTCAAATTATTTTTAACTTTGTCTTAGAAGGACAAACAGATGACAATTTTTCCTTGTAGGTGGCTAAGAATTAAAGATGAGGTTGTAGCCATGAAGATATTGCACAGTATATTTTTATTTCTGATATCAGAACATAAGTGAAATCCATGTGGACTATCTGTATATTGTTTTGTTTTCCTAATTTTATTTCATTGTTTCTCACTCCTTACAGGACTGGGCTTATACTTGCAATGTTGACCAAATTGATATCAAGTGGCACATTCCTTCAGCTGAAGAAATTCAATTTGCCACAACCATCTTGGAGAAAGTCTTGCAACCTCAACTTGATGCCATTAGCAAAATCTCAGAAGGGAATGAGATTCCCAGGTCAGTTTCATCAAATGAACCGTTTTTGTTGAATTTAAAATGATTTTTTTTATTTTTTTTTATTCTCTGTTCACTCATCATTACAGTAAAACATGCTTAGATTATATGTGATATGCTATTTAACTTTCTTTTGCATAAATTATGCTTTACTTTATATAAAGCTGTCAATAAAACTTGTGGATGTACTAATATCTCGAACAGAGCATGGGTTCAAGACATTTATATACTGTAAACCTACATTTACCAGACAATACCTCAACTTCAACTCCCGCCACCCAAAAAGTGTAAAGGAAGAGATCGTCCACTACTTACAACATCAAGCAAAAATCATAAGTGGCAACCCAGAGACATGAACAAGAAATGGTCAGTATAAGCAGTACCTTACAACGTAACATCTACCCTGAGTACATGGCAGCAGTTCCAACAAACTGGGGCAGAAGGATACAAAGGATAACTGCACTCGGAAAATATCTTCAGCCTGCCTACCCTATGTGAAGGGATTATCAAAGAAAATACAAAAGATCTGTGGTCCATATAACATCAGGACGACCTTCAAAAGTGGTTTGACACTTCACAGACACCTCTTCCAAGTAAGACCCCCATAGAGGAGAACATGACTGTGTGTACACCATCCTGTGCAGCTGTAGTAAAATATAAAGGAGAAACAAGTAAGGTAAGACGGCAAGAACATTGTAAAGCCGTAACACAAGGGGAAATATAAATATCAGGCATAGCTGACCACATATGGAGGAAAAAGAGAGATTGCCGCCCCCCTGTGGGATAAGTTTGAAATAATAGAACATCACTGGAAAATATGAAAACTTAAGGAATCAGCACATATGCTAGGCTACAAAAATCTCCTAAGCTGACCTAGCATAGAAATGAAGACAATATAGGAACCAATAATATGAAATACTAGAGAAAAGCAATAATAACAATAAAATTGCAATATGTGCTATGGTAAAAAAATGAATACTGAGGCTTTAAGTTTATAAATCCCAAAATTCATACATTGATGTCCTCAAGGAGACATGGCCCAGTGGATAAAAGTTTTGGTTGAATCCAGTTACTTGAGCAAAAGAGTTGTCAGTTCAATACTTGGCTACTGCATGTTTATACACATACAAAAATAAATTCAAATTTCTTTTAAAGATATTGTTGTTTGATGATTTGTATTAAGCTTTTCCATTTATGATTAGTAAATGTAGTTTTCACTTAATATTATCATCATCTAAAAGTATCTATAATACTATAGATTTAAAGCTTAATATTTTTTTTTAATTAAAATTTTTAAAAAATGAAAACAATTCTTTTCATTATTCATTGAAAAAAAATTTTTCTCAAGACAATAGTGTCCTTAATATATCTTATTTATAAAAGCAATTAAAAGCTTTTCTAATTAAATAATGTTGTAGTTTTATTACAGTTTTTATTTTACAATTCAGATCAGATTTTTGGTAAATAGTGTTTCTGTTTGACAAAAACTAATTGATGATTTAAATTCTCCAAGGAGTCCTGCTTTTAACTAATATAAATATAAAGAGGTTGGTTGGAATTTTAATATCTCAGAATTTCATAAAATTAAGTGCTGGTAACAGATGTGAAAAAAAGAAAAAAAATTCATTGTGAATAAGTCCTGAAAATTTAATTAAAATCTGATAATTATTTGATTTTTGCAAGAATTTCCAAAACTCACAAAAAAGACACAAGAATTTCCAAAAGCCACAAAAAAGATGCTAAATTTCCCAATACTAAACTTTTGCTCACCCACTGATGCAAGAAAAATTTCGAACATGCTAGAAAGGGTTAAAAAATTTAATAAAATAATCAAAAAATACTTTGCTCTTTCCTCTTAATATTAACATAAACATTTTGACAATAAAACTTTGTTTTTATTATGTTTGGGGCCCATTTTCATCATGGTATGCTCTTTTTTAGAAAGTTTTTGGTGGTACCTACTTAAATCATTTAATCATGTTTTAGCAGTAGTTAACTTCTTGGAAGTTCATTATTGATATAAATGCAAAAAGATTTTGAAAGTTTTGATTTTTTTTTTTTTTTTTTTTTTTTTTTTTTCTGGTAAAACTCTACAGGTAAGAAAAACCATGAGTGTTTTTGATAATGTTTATATTGGCGGGCATCTCTTATTTGTTAGAATTATATAAAAATGTAATCTGCTATTGATTTGAATAAGTGCTTTGAATTTTTTTTTTCCTACTAAATGTACTAGTTTAAATACAACTTTTTGGTAATAATCTTCAAAATTGTTGGCAAAGGATTTTTACTGGCCAAATTTTCTTCCATCCTGAGTATGATGACAAACTACATCCGTGTCCTGGGTAAGACGATAAACTACGTCCAACAGCAAGGCCTCTGATCAGGAGGTTTTGAGGATCATGGAACCACCTCTTAATTGCTGGTGTTCCCAGGTTCACCCTGACCTGGGATGGTAGCACCAGCTATGGGCAAATAGTTGACACCCAAACTTGTGTAAAAATAGGTTTAATACCAGAAATACTTCATAATAAAAAAAATATTGCCAGCAATAATTTTTGAAGGAAAAATTATTATCAGCATAACTTTAAAAAAAAAGTACAAGCAATACAAACAGCTATACATTCTTTGAAAAAAATATTACCAGCTATAGATTTCTTCAAGGAAAAATATTCCCAGTAATAGATTTTTGAAGAAAAACATTACCAGCAATAAAAATTTTGTCGGCATTAAATAACCCATTGAGGTTGATATGCTGTAAAACAAACCAAACCAAACCAAATTGTCTTTTTCATATTCAAATTATAATATTTTTATTGTTATAAATTTATTTAAAAAAATTTTTTTTGCAGTGGTGAGTGGAATTTTGTGTGATAGTTTAGTAAATTTTAAACCATTTTAGTTAAAACAGTAAATATATAAAATTACGTATGTAGTAGTTATAGAGAAAAAAATATAATTTTTCCTTTTTCAAATTGTCAAATAGAATTGATGCTATTATTGTTCATGCAGTTGTTTCAATGGAGAAAAAAAACAAGGTGGCATCTTAATATTGCTAGGTCTTCTGATTTGTGATTAACTGATGATAGAAAATCAGCTTGAAAATTGATATAGCTGACATTTATTGCCCCCCCCCTCTTTATCCAGGATGTTATGTTTGTCAATTTAGAATGAATTTAAAAGAAACCACACATGCACACAGTGTGATGTTGAAAAGTTTTTGGCCCAATCCACATCCTAAAAATCTAGCCAAATTACTAAACACGAGACATTATTTTTAATTCCTTCTTGGTTGGTCTGAAATGTATTTTTTTTATCTTTAGTGTGATCTAGGGTAACTTGTGTATCTTTTTGTTTCCGTTCACTGCCATTGTTGTTTCGTCCAGAAATAATACCAAATAATTAAGGATAATAAATATTTAAATGAGCAGACAATGGAAAATGTAAAGGTCAGCTTTTCCTTTTGTGTATTGATTTAAATACTGAAAAACCAAGCATTGTGCTATAATTCAACATCTTTTTTTTGTCTTGATTGCTTATAGTGTTTCAGCTTTTGATAACATCAGTTAAGTTGACTTTGAAATAAGAATGTTAAGTCATACAGGAAGGCTTATAAACTAGACTTTCATGAACTAAAAACAGTATATCTGTGTGGATTGTGATACAAATAAAATAAATGAGCTTAACAACAATCATATTATCTACACACATACATGCTTTTTAATAGCATTGAGAAAAAGTATCTTGATATAACTTTTTTTTTTTTCTTTTCAGGGAGGATCTGTTGCGACGACTGTGCATCATCCTTGAGTGCTTATTAGGAGCAGGAGCCATGTTAAATGTTCTGAGTGATGAACCTCATCAAATGTTATTATCTTTATTTTCATATCAAAGCTGCTTCCTGTATTTCTCTCTCACTCTATAAGAGATAAAAAGAAAGTCAGCACCTTACTGGTTCACTGACTTTATCATTTGTGTACATTTATTATTCTTTAACTTTAATTTCAGTATTTTTATCATTTTCATTTATCAACATTAAAAGGAAGGTAATATGATGTTAAGTGCTTAATGACCCACAAAGATATTATGCCAAAAAGTAAAGCTTAGAATTCCCTAACCTTACACTATACATCTTTTTCTTTCATATTGTAATTTTGATGAATTATTCAGTTTAGATTGAATTTGTAGTTTCTTTTTTCTTTTCTTTTTTTTTTTTTTTACCATCAGTTTTCACCTCTTAAATTCATCAGCTGATAAAGTGTTTCAAATGAAATTGATGCAGAGTGTATAAATTATTTTTAAAAAAAACATAAATGCTAATTTGATTTCTCTTATTTGTTGACAGAGTGGATTCTGAAGTGGATCTCAAGTATTTTGGTTGTGTTGCTTCCATCAGTGAAGGTAATTTTGATTTTTGTTTTAAGGAGATGCTAAGAAATTAGGCTTATACATCATCGTAAATAGAATATTTGAAGATTGTTGCAGAATTCAACCAACAATCCATTTCCTTTACTTATCAAAAGAACTGTAATTTTCAGTTGTTTTGCCTGTACTTGAAAATATTAATGTGTTGTGTGTGCATGTGTGTCTTTGAGCCTTTTTAACAAATGGATAGCATTTGGATTGCAATGTAGGATGCTTTTTACAAGCCTTTGTTCATTTTCTCATTACATATCCCTTCTGTCCCATGTTAATAACAAAACTGCGCAACTATGACAAGTTGTGGAACAAGGCATAAGGAGTTCTGAGTTAATGTCATTCTTAACAGCCAGAAATAATTGAAATAGTTTTATCAGTTCTATTTTCTCTTTTCCTACTTTAGATAACATTTGAAAACAAGTAAAATATCAGCATCTCTGAATATTTTTCTTGAATTTTTTATTTTATTTACACTTGCAGGAATTTTGTTAAATGGTAAATGTGTGCGTCAAGCTATTGTGGATGCTATCCGACCTCTACTCAGTGAGTATTTGCTATGAAACTTTTCTCATTTGAATTTTCTTGCTTTGCCATTAGAATGGCAAATTTTATATATATATATATATATATATATATATATATATATATATATTAAAATTCCTCCACAATTAAACATGACTATTGTGTTAACTGAAAATATTTTTATCATTTAATGGAATTAGGAGCTTTTTAGTTTTAACTAATTAACTACGTCCATTAAAATAAAATCACTTCTGATTGTATTGAGATAATTGTCATATCAGTGTACAGTTATTAAAAGAACATCCATATTATACTTTATTACTTTAAGAAAAGTAAAAACTTGACTGGAAGAAAAAAAGTTGTGCATTTTACAAAAATACTGTTATGTATGATCAAATGTGTTATATGTAGAGTCTCATTTTGGAGATTTTTTTTTTTTACTGAATGATCTTCCATAGTTTGGTAGCAATCAAGACATAAGAATGAGTTATGGTACAAGATGCTCAAAACATTCACATCAAGCATTGATTCTGTTGGTCATTTTGATGTGTATCTTTCATATAAATTATGCGAATAAAACATTCTGGGTTGTGTTTGTATGTGCAATTTGCTACTGAAACATTGCCAAAATATTCTATTTTTGAAACAAATTGTGACAGGCAATGAAAAGTGGATACTTTACAACTCTATGAAATGAAAGAGTGTGAGACTTCAGTCATTACTAACTGTACCAAAGTCTAATTTTCACATCAACATAGTAGTACTGCATTGGAAAGATGTTTTCTAATATAAGCTACTTTTAGAGAACCAAACAATTGATTGAAACAAGTACTACTTCCATTTAGGTTGACTAAATACAACAATTAAAGTAAAGCTTTTAAGAGGAGACTGTAATATTCTAGCAGGATACTGCTAGATTTTGTGTTTCTTTGGTGACCAGGCAAAACTTGTTACAACTGACTATGAGGTTTTCTCTCAATTAGTCATTCTTCCTGCATTTTAACAAAAGAAATAATACTTTCCCCACACTTCTCACAATAAACAATTTCTCAATTTTACTACTGTTTATGGAGTAATTCCCAAACTGTTATGTAGCTTGAATCTTGGTTTATCTCAATTACTATTGTCAATGACTCTTTCTTTCAGACTACCTGTTAACTCACAGTGAAGATGACACTAAAAGTCTACACAAAATAATCCTAGTAAGTACGCTTCTAACAACACAAAGCTCATCAAGAGCACAAAAAGCAGTTGCTCTCAACTGGTTCTTCTTTCTTCCCTCTTGATGGAGAGATAGTAACCCAATAAACTTCAATTTTTGATTTCAGATCTATGACTGTTTGATCTTCTTTCACGGAACTCTGAAGAAAGACTTTGATACACGCTGGAAGAACTTTCACTTGGTAAAAAATGTTCTTGAAGACAAGGTAGGTTGTCCGGAAGAGATTCCTTTGTCTTTTCAGATTCTTAAAAAAAAATAAGATTATTCTAAGCTTACAGTGGTCATCCTCCATCCTGCTCTACTTATTTAACCAAATTTAGAATGAATCATTGCGAATTAGCAAAGTTAATAAGTAAATGATTGTAACTGACTGCTTAGATAAAAGTACTTTCCCTGCTTTAGTATGCAATTGTGGTGAAATAAGACCAAGAAATTTTAACCTACCTTTGGCTAAGAGGCCACAGTGTCTCATCTGCCCAGTAGGAGCTGCCATTTGCAATTTAGGTAAAGTGCATATGTGGTTCTAGTGCTTTTAAAACTATTGTTAATTTGTATGAGTGGTCAAAAACCTGAATAAAAGGTGAGCCACACAGATGAGCAAAGAGAAGGATCAACAGAATTTGACCTGTGCTGGACTGGGTTCATTGCGATTATCAACTACAGAAATCACTTTTCTTTTTGAGTTAATTGATAATCTAAGCTATTTAGATAATCAAACATTACAGATTTAAAACTACTTCTTTACAGACATTTGTCCTAATTCTCTAAAGACTACTTGAAACAATCACTAAATGAAGAAGAGTTTGCAATGCTAATTGTTTTTTATATCATTTACAACACCCAGAGATGCAACTTGTACAATCTTAACAGATTGAAGTAGCAGAACAATAAATATGTTTGTGTAATATTTTTGCACAGTTCTTCAGATAAGTTGAAGATGCACCTTAAATTAAACTGACAATCAGCCTGACTTGTTTGGCCTTATGTGATTATTATCTAAGCCTAAATGTGTTGTAAAATGAATTCTACTATTCAATCTTAATGGATGTGAGAAATATTAATAAAAATTAAAATAACCTTAACTGCAATATTTTGCTCTACGCAGTATATACACTCTTGATGAATGCTGAAGAATGAAACATGTTAACAATATCAAGAAAAGCAGAGTTCAATTCTCACAGAAGATTTAAAATATTTATTGTGTCTCTACACAGTATATTGTTAGAAGCAGCAGCAGCAAAAGTTACTCTGAAAAAGGCAAAATTATCTTTATTTTAATAAAAATTCTGTCTTTGCACAGTTCTGATAATTTGTGAGACCAATGAGGTAATTATGATATATTTAATCTTAAGAATCATCAAAATAGGAATGCTAAAAATGTTCCTAGTTTTAGCCTTGGTAAAAATAACTATTGAACAGTTAACGTATAAAAGAAAATAATAGAATTTTAGTCAAAATTTAAGTCAGTGTTTTGGGGTTTTTTTGTTTATTTTTATTACAAAACTAGCATGTTAGCCAATAACCAGTTGTTGCTATTTTGATATTTATTATGATTTATTTATACATTGTATATTTAAGAATAGTAAGTATATAATATACTGTTATATAGCCTCTTAGCTGTTGTTATTACTTCTTTCATGCAAAATACTGATACATAATTTGATTGCTATACTTGTTTCACCTTTAACACTCTCTAGGCAACTTCAATTATCAAGCAAAACTTTTATTCTGACTCTTGGGGTGAATCTGATTGTTAAACAATAGTATGTTTGAATTTTGTGGTTGTATTTTCACATAATTCTATGACAACAGCAAAAATGATTGTGACTGAAACTGAGGCTATTGCAATTGAGGGTCATAGGTTAGAAGATATATATGTGAATATTACAGAGTGTTAAATGCTTAAGTAACATTATCACTAAATTTATTTTTAATCTGTGAGACTTGCTTTATTCCTCAATTAATGCATTTTCTTTTCCTGTAGTTGGCTGGCCATAAAACTAATGTTCGAGCATTGCTGGTTGATAGAGTTCTTTTGCAACATGAGGTAAATATTTTTATATAAATCAAGTCCCAAAAGCAATGAGAGCCATTTTGTTTAAGCTAATTGAAAATTTTAACATTTCTGTTTTTATTCTTTATAATATTAAATATGAAATCATTTTTTGTTGGCTGGATTTTTTTTTTTTTTTTTTCTTAATAGTTGCGAATGTTGTTAAGTGCAAAGAAGAAGTTCACCAAGGTCCACAAGTTGTTGCTGCATGACCTCCTGGCCCTTTCTACCAGCCGATACAGTGGGGTGAGTGTAGTTATTGTTGCATGAATGAATAAATATTAGTGAATAGAGTCTCTAACTTTGATTTCTCTAACATCTCTACTTGATGTCTAAAAAATAACATTTTTCTTGTTAATTCTTAAAATAACAAAAAATATCAATCTACTTAATGATGTTTTTTTTTTTTTTTTTCATATTCTCTCCCACTCCACCCTTTGCATCTTAGTATCTTTATTGCTTTGTTTGGAGTGAAATGATTAAAAAAAAAAAAAAGTTAAATTTATAATATGTGAACTAATATCTTTTTGCTGATGCTAAGAGAAAACTTAAAATGCAAGGCTTCTTTTTGATTTTTTTTTTTTATATTTACCATGTATCATGCAACCTTTTTTTTTTTTTTTTTTTTATATATATATATATATACTTGCCTATCATGTAACCTTTGAAGACCTAATTTGAACAAATTTGACTACAGTAAGTGGATATATGTTTGGTCAACAGTGTAGCCAGGGCCAGCAGTACATATGCCAATTTTATATCTCATGTATGATGTAACACCCTTAAAATTATCTTCAAAATGAGGTCTTCAAAAGTTTCATGATATGTGAGTATATACAGTATTTTTAACTTTTTTTAAATTGTACTTGTCATCTATATTTATATTTTTTCTTCTTAGGTGAGGAAAAAAGGCCAAACAATGTTGTTCCATGTCTTCCTGAATTTCCAGTACAGTTATATGTTGTTGCTGCCTGAAATTGTCAAGAACCTTACTGACCCTACTGTCCCTGAACACAAATTCAAGGTGAGCATTGCATATCCTTCTTTCATATCCACAATAGTATAACACACACCTTAAAATACTGATTGTTGTCTAATATAATTATTACTAATTTGATTGGTAAACAAAATCCAATGATACTTCTTCATGTAATAATAAACCAATGCAAATCTATTCTGCCAAAAGTGTTACTCTGGACTTTTAAAGTATGATATTTAAGGACTTTTTTTTTTTTATTTGAACTATTCACAAATACTCTTGTTGATTGAAGAGTCATTTTCAATGATTTTTCTCAAATATATCTATTGGGCTATCACTGGAGTTTGAGCCCAAACTTGTACCATTGAGTATCTAATGCCATCACAAATATGAGAGGGTGCTGAAAAGATCTGATCCATTTTCCAAAATTCTGGCTTAAGAACCAAACTTCAGATTTTTTTTTCCTAGGAGCTTTTTGGACAGAATGAGAAGTTTTCAACACTCCCTTGTAATATCTTTCACAGGCTGTCAGAATTCTTTGTCAATCCAGGATTGTTATTGTTCATCCAATACAAGACCCAAGAGCCACTCAAGGTAGAGGGTTACTTAATGAACATAGGTGGTAAGAAGTGCATATTATGAGGATATGTAAGAAAGATAACAGTTAACCCTAGACTTGAAACAGTTGAGATTGTATTAGTCGGGGAAGCATCCTCTCAGAAGTAAAAACATATATACTGAAGGTGATAATGAACCTTTGAGCTACTTTTTCTTGAGCAATTAGTTATGGTTGATTAGTTTATCCAAATTCTCACTCACTGGTATTGACTCATGATATGCCAACAGCAAGACATAGTATAGGGAGATGAACATTTGCTTACAAATACATTTTGATCAGTACAAGTATATAGTGAATTATCTATTATATTACATGACTTTACTAAAAGCAAACAATTTCTACCTTTATTTCAGTATTAGTTGTGTGTGTGCATCTGTATAAGTATTTTAACACACAAACCGGAGTGCCAAAAATTTAAGCACATCATTTAGAACGTTACTTAATTACTTGTAGAAATGGACTCAGCCTGATGAAGCAGTGTAGCTGTGTCAGCCATGAGACATGGACAGGATTTTACAGTTTGGCAACAGAATAATTGTTGGAATCAGGAAGAGAGAGCCCTCTATCTTGAAGATTGTGCTCTCTCTTCCTGATTCCAAATCTTTAAGCGAGGGTATACAAGAAACATATATGAATTCTGAACAGGCATAAATAGCAATATGTTATAAGCAGACTTTATGTACTATTATTTTTCTTATTTCTTTCATGAAAAAAATTTGCTTGAACTGTTTTGAAAATGTTGTCATAACTGGGCAAAATTTTAACTCAACCTGTATGTATATGATGATGATGATGGACTCTTTTGTTGTTTTCGACATAGGAGTGTCTTTCAGTTCAGTTTTTATGTTTGTTTTGTATGAGACAATGATCCTGCAGAGGATTTACAAATCCACACAAAGGGGATACTGAAGAGTTGACCATCATATGGGTTGATGTATTAGCCCAAGATTTAGTATTAATTCTTAATTCTCTCAGATGGTTGAGACGATTCTTTTCAAAGTTAGTTATACCTCGGTAGCAGGTGTTTCTCCAGTTTGCTCGGTTTTTAACAGTAAGTTTGAACTCTTCTATAGAATAGTATTTGTGTGCACACATATATATATATATATATATGTGTGTGTGTGTGAAAAGTTTTTTTGTGACACATTTCATCCTTTAGGACTTCATCAGACTAAATTTATGTTGGTGCGCACTACACATGCACACAAACGAGGGATGTTGGGAATTTTAAATTAAAAAAAAACTTAAATTACCAGCATCCCTCATTCATGTGGATGTGTAGTTGCACCAATATGCCAAATTTAGTCTAATGAAGTTCTAAAGGACAAAACATGTCACAAGAAAAGTTGTTCCCCAATATTGCTCTTGATATATAAAAATATGTATCACTATCTATATATATATATATATATATATATATATATATATATATATATATATATATATATATATATATTACACTTTGCTTTTTTCTTTTCTTTGTACAGATTTCTATTCATGCTCTTCTTTAATGCTTTTATTTAATTTCTTCTTTTTTTTTTTTTTTTTTTTTTTTCAGAGTTCTTTGTACATAATGAAAGGTAATGGCTCAAAGGCACTAATTGTCAAACGTCAGTGGAATGTACTCGGTCAGTTATGGCCTGCCTTGGTAAAGGCACAACACTCAGAGGAACTGTCAATCTTGAAGGTTATAGATGATATCAATTCTGCAGTGACAAAATATTTTGAGACACCTGCCATCAAAATAGTGGTAATGGTTTTTTTTTTGTCTGTCTTATTTTTTTATATCTAATTTTTTTTTCTTCAAATCTCATTAAATATTATCAAATTTTCATGAGCAGGATGTTATGACAAAAGTACACAGGTGTAGGCTTTAAGAAAGCCTTATTCAACTGAGAATACAAAATTCATGTATAGTGTCCTTTTATAGTCTCAGTAAACAGAAATAGCTTTCTCAAAGAGGCAAGAAACGAAACAAGGGGAGACCACTCTTGTTTATTCATAACACAGGGCACATTAGTGTGTTATTAATCGGGAAATTAGTAAAAGTCAAAAAAAAGAAAAAGGCAAGTAAAAATGAATTCTAATTCTTATGGTGTGTTAATCATATGTTCATTATCATCCATGCTATAAGATAAGCCATGTCAGTCAATGTGTAAGGAGTAAACAAGTGTTTATGGCAAAAGGTAAGAAAGAAGAGGGGCTAGTGAAAATGTGGAAGGTAAAAAGAATAATCAAGTAACATAAATTCTTTTTCTATACATGAAAAAGGTGTTATTTTTCATGTGAAAACTATTATTTTATTTCTGTTTTTATAGATTTAATTTTTTCTTGAAGAGTAGTAAATCACCTTTTATAATGTATTTAATATATAAAACAAATTGAAAGGTTAATTGTTAAAAGGTCAAAATAAAAGTGGGAGAGGTTTTTATATTTGAGATTTATTAGTTTATTTCCTATTATGTTGCTAGCATAAAGAACAGAAATGGATTAGCTTCATCAGGTTAATTCTTTCATGTCAACAAATATAAAAACCTCTTCCACTTTTATTAAGTAGAAATATCAAATTTGTCTATTTTGTTTTTGAGAAAGGTGTCAGGGGATCTTTTTCAATGAAATAATGTTTCTCTTTTAGACTCCTGTAAGTTGCATTGAGAAAGCACAGGATCTGTTGAAGTCATCCAGTTATCCAAAACCTAAATATGTTTTGGCAAATGATGAAGAAATGGAATTGAAACTTAAACAGGAAACTGCCAGAAATGAAAAATTTACAGAGTGAGTCTTTTAAAGCTGCAGTAGTCACCCATTTGAATTTTGTTGTTATTGTCATTCTGAAATAAAAAGTTTATTTAAAAATATTATAAGATTTGAAATAGACTGAAATATCTGTTTTAAAAGCCAATTTTTGTTTTTACATCAAAACATAAAAAGTAACTGTCCATTATGGAATCATCTGTTATTCTCCAGACATATTGCTGTCTTAGGTGGGAAATTGCCAAGATAGGAACTCAAAAAAATAAAACATTAAAATAAGTTTGTGTGTGTCTGTGTGGAAACTAAAAGGAAATGTACAGAAAATGCAAAACTGATATCAGTTTAGTTTTTATTTACATGTTTTTTTATTTTTTTATTCTAACAGTTGTAAAAGGTGAGGAGTCAGATGTTAGAGAGAGAAAATATTTTAGTTTATGAGGTTTTTAATTTTTAGATAGAAAACATTGGTATGTCTGGTACATTTGACAAACAGAATTGTTCTTAGTTTGCTGGTCATTTTCTTTGTTTATCCTTCACCGAAATATGTGGGAATCTTTTTGTTCCTTGATATTTGATTCACACTACTTTCTGATTCACCTTCTTACTCAATGAAAATCACCAAACAAAATAATGGACACTTAAATGATTCAACAGTGAATTAAGTCAATGAAAAAATTATGAACCTGTGTTAATCTGTGAGGGGAATATCCATTCTGTTCTTGCATGAATTGTTAGTTAATAGGAAAATTGTGAATGTGTTGTAAGAAATATATCCCCTACCAGTTTCTTTGCCAACACAACTTTCTTTCTACAAATAAGAGATGAGTAAATCTCAATATTTTTCCATAGATTTCAAGAAATTGATATTACACTTTGATTCTCAAGCAATGTAAATAGTGAAGATTTTTCACTATAACTGATGCATGAACAAGGGTCTTCTTTCTTAACCTATTGTTTTTTGGTAATTGTTAGTTTTTTTTATATTAAATTGTTACATTTACTGTAAAAAAAACCCAAAAAACTTTGTGCATAACCCTAAATTTTTATTGCCGATTTTTGCCAATTTTTTATCTTTTATACATGTTTTTTTTTTATATTTAAAAAAAAATTTTGTTTCTATTTACATAACACATGAAACTGAATTTTTGTTTTCATCTTAGCAATGTTTATATTAAAAGAATGGCATTTTTAGACATGATAGAATTGAACAACTGAAGCTAATAAGTGCCACTATTTTTTCATTAAAATAGAGGAAAATACTAAATTTGAAATTTAGGCGCTCTTGTAACTTGAATTTTATGAAATTACTAATTTTATATTGTTACTATTAAAATAGAATTAATTTTTGACTTTTTGTTTTACAGAATGTACAAAGAATTGGTGAATGATTTAGTGACTTTAGTGGAAAAAGGCGACCTGTAAGTTTGTCTTTAATGTTTTTCCTTCATATTAATATATTTCTTTACCATTCTTTATTATTTATCAAGACAAATAGCAATGTTGAATTGCATTAATATTTTGATTAGATCTCTACTATCACTGTAGTGCAGCAATTAATGTCCTGGCCATTGAAAATGAATTTAATCTTCACTGGTCATTTGTAAATGTTATCATGGATTAGATTTTCAAATAAAATTTAGTAAAAGAAAACTTTGTTAATATGAAACAAATTAAGATGTTTATCATTATATAATTCCTATTGATATTAATGATCCACCAAAATATTTATGAGGCTTACAACTGTATCATGTTGAGACACTAGTTCCCATATAATCACAGCAATGTCAATCCTGGTCAGTACTTGGGTGATAGGTAACCACTTGGGAATACCAGATGCTGTAAGCTTGGATATGCAGGTGATGTAATAGATAATGGCTCAGAGTTGCTAATTGGAGAGCCAAGTTCCAATTACCAGTGGGCTTATTATAGTCGCTTATGCCTAGATATCATCCTTGGCGAAAGGGTATGATTCCAGCTCTTCTTACCCAGCTATGGGTTGATTAGACTTCTATCACTAAAACCATTATCATCACCAAAAAAATGAATACAAAATATTTAGATTTCAGCATTTAATAATCATTAGATATTGATATGCTGCTAACAGACCAACCAACCAAAACATTTAGTTTTGGCTTAGGGAAGGTGTATTGCATTTCTTTTTTATAAGGGTGTTGATTTCTTACTTTAGTTTACATAAAAATCTTTGAATAAATCTTTCACACCATTTGTCTATTACAGTCTCAAAATGATAGGTTAATATAATGTGTAAAAATCATGATATTGTAATCAAGATAACTATTTAATTTTTATCCCTTCGATCTCCTACTGGAACATTGTTTTAACATTTGTATGCTACAATGATAGCCAGGAAAAAGACAAAGTTAAGGAAATCAATCCACAAAATAAAGTGTGATTTCTTTTTTACTAAACTCAAAACCAGTAAAGAATGATGAACATACTTATTTTTTGTTTTTTGTTTAGTTCATGGAAATTCCGTCAACTTGGGATTGATTTATTAACCTTACTCTTGCGCCATGACCACATGATGCCCGTCTGTGCTGTGAACATGTTCCTCAAGAATGCAATTGATGATTCAATTTATGTTCGTCTGGTGAGTAAATCTTAGAAAAGTCATTTATTTATCTCAGTAGAAATTGTATTTGTCTATATATTTAATAAAAGTGGACTCTAGAAAATCCTTATTCAATTGATCAAGAACTGATAGGGAAAAAATACTTTGTGCTGCATAATCCCATTAAGTGTTGGTCTATAGATAAAGGAATAATTTGTGTTTACCACTGTAGAGGGTTACTTTCATTTTTTTATTAGAAAAAATTAAAATTAGAAAATTGTCAAACAGAATTTTATGAGTGATCATTTGAGTGAAAAATAAAATCATGGAAAAGATTTCAATTTCATTTTGCACTATTTATACAATTAAAATTGTTACTTCAGTCACACTATAAGAATGAGCAATCTTTAGTCTATTTCTTTTTACATTCTTTCCAATAGTGTACATAGGATTAATCAGTCTTAACTGGTTTAGACAAGGGAAAAAATATAATGAGCAATCTTGATGTGAAATTGTAATCTTTATATAAATTTCTGCATGTTTGGAACAGAAATAATGTCTTCAGTCATTAGTGAACACAATAACAGTGGCTTAAAATCGATTTTCATATTTACAACTCTCTAGATGTTAAACTGATCTTTTCTTTTCTGATCTTCACATTGTTATACAGCATGCTTGCATAATAATCCAATCTTAAAAATTTGTTTCCTTTTATCATCCGTTTCTTTTCTTGCAGATTTGCATATCTTCCTTAATGGCTGTGTTTGAGCAACTGAAACGTAAACATAAAGTAGTCGATGCTGATTTGGAAGCCTTAACTGGCTGTTTACCACTCTCTTCTTCTGATTCCAAATGTCTGCCAGGAAAACGTAATGACAATACTTGGCATCAATTTAGATCTGAAAGTCTACCACGTACCAAAGAAGCTTGGGAAAAGTGTACATTTGTTGAAAAAACCCATTGGGGATTTTACTGCTGGCCACAGTAAGTGAGATTTACTTTTTGATATACTGACAAGGAAAAGAACTCAAGCCAAACTTTTATCATTAATATTGTAAAACCAATAAAAACTAAATCTTTTTACTATAAAACTTCTAATTGGGAAAATTCAGTTAAGTCATTGTCAGATAAATCTCTGCAAAATGGCTTGTCTACAAGGATTATTTTTTTTCCATTAATAATCTTTTACAAACCTCCATAAATCAGTTGTTTATTGATATTTATTAAGCTAGTTAGGGGCAAACTGCCTGCATACAGAAAAAACATTCAGTAAATACACAAAAATAGAAAGGGCTGTAAAACAAAATATATATATATATATATATATATATATATATATATATATATATATATTCAACCTTTACAGTGAGGTGAACCTGAGAGAACTGGAAGTCCTACCAGGATTCATTATTGGTTGATACATATCAACAACATAAGATATGTAATTGACACAATGTTGACAGCAGACACAGAAATGAAACTGAAGGAACTCCTACAGAATGTAGTAAGAGAAAGTGAGAAGAAAAGCCTAAATATCAATTGTAAGAAGACAGAACATATGGTTGTCAGCAAGGGGGACAGCCCAAAATGTCAACTATAAATTGGAGATATCAAAATCAAGCAAGTACGAAAATATAAATATCTGAGAAGTGAATTAACAGAAGACGAAAGATGTGGCACCAAAATTTGAAGGTGCATTGGAATAGCGATAGATGTCTTCCAGAAGCTAAGCAAAGGATTAAGAAACTGGAAAATTTCATCTTGTAACATCAGTCTTTCACTATAGCAGTGAATGTTGGATAATCTCCACAGAGACAATGTAGTTCTATAGAAGGATGCTGAAAACTCTATGGTCTAAAAATGTGAATAGCAAGGAAATTTTAAGGAAAATGGAGGTAACAATGAAACATGGCACATAGAAGAAGAACATACAAGGTCAAATATTTCAGAAAAAGAATTGGAAGGCTTGTGTCATGCCTTTTTCAAGAGAGAAGGACTGGCTTGATTTGAATTCAGCATTTGAAATCCTAACTTTTACTTGGGCTTAGACAACATTTACTGGTACCTGTGGAAAGTATATCACTATCTTAGCCACATACTCAGTCAGACCTGTTGTTTACATTCTTTTTATTGTTACATGTTTCTTTATTAAACATCACATAATCAAAATGTCAATGTTTTCCCATGCACTATATTTGAAAAATTCTTTTTCTTTTGGAAAAGCACATTTTTAAATATCCTTAAAAATCAATGTGTACCATGGTTAGAAATAAAAGTAGTTCATATTCTAAGTTTATAGACCCAAATATTTTCTAAAAAATACTCTTGGCCCATTTGATTTAATCAAATAAATTGTCTTTTAAGCCATAAGATCCAACTGTGTTGCTATCATTTTACGTTTCTGAAATATTAACATTTTGCAAAGCGTCTTTTTAAGCGTAAATTCATGTCCAAATGGTTAAGTTTATTTTGATGCTGTATTTTTGTGCAGGCCACTTTCTGTGTATGCTCCGTACAGTGAGCAACCCCAAGTAGCCCGTGATCGCTCTGAACTGAATGAGTCAGAAAAGCTCGTATATGATCGGTATTCCACCAAAGAGTATGTTGACAAATTTGTCTCTCTCGTGGCTTTGGAGGAACAAAAAGGCAGAGATAAATTCCGACACAGACAAGTTTATTTTTTCAAGGTGAGGCTTTCTGCTTTAAGATTTTCAAACCTTACAAATGCAAACGTTACCTAGTTCTGTTATTTGTCAAAATCTTTCAGTTTTCAAATGTTTAAAAAAATTTTATCTTCTTTTTTAGATTTCATTTTCTATGCCTGTTAACAAATGCTTTGTTGTTTCCACTTACTGTAATTTTTGTGCACTTAATACTTTTTAGAGTTTTACAAATGTTTTCCCCTAAGAAAGTATCTGTGTTAGGGATATTTCATGTCAAAAGTGGTGTGTGCATGCATATATATATATATATATACACACACTCTAATGTCAAAATCAAGTGAAACCTTACTATTATTTTCAGATATTAATTTTCTTTCACAATATATAAGAAAAAATGGGTGCCTTTTGAAAGAAGTATTGAGTGTAAAGGGTTATTTTTTTTTTTTTTTTTAGTAATGTGTGTTTATATGTAGGCCTTTATTTTTACTGCATGAAAAATAAATATTGTTCATATGTACATTGCAACATAAGGAAAACTTTGGTGTTAAAATACACAAGATACTTTTACTATTAAAAACTGGATTTTAAATGTGTAAACTAGTTTGTTACAAAATTAGCCTTTTATGGTATAGAGTAGGATTAAGTTAATGGAATAGAAGCAACAACCTAGCAAAGAACTCCAATTTAGAGAACTTTTGAATTTATTTAGTGAGGTCTACAGTTTTTGCCTTAGTTTATTCTGCAAGATAATGGTATTAAATGAAGAGCAACAATTCTCAAGATTTAGATCTTTTTTTTTTTGTTTTTGTCTCTTAACAATTGTTAATATTTTTTGTTTATTTTTTATTTTTTTTTGTTTTCAGGGTCTTTTTAGAAATTTTGGCGACACATTTCTTGAAGTGTTTAAACCTCAAGTTGAAAAATTGTTGGCTGAAACCAACCCTATTATCCAAGAAACACATCACAGATGTGCCTTGGAGATTCTGGCAGGAATGATCCGTGGATCAAAACACTGGCCATTTGAAAAGGTATACCAAGTATTAGGTGAAAAAGAACACCTGCTTTTAATCTTAATTTCTTCATCAGACACAAGGAATTATTCTGCACAATAAATGTATTTTCTTTATTCAGACACATTTGGCTGATCCAATTTGTGACTTTAGCTACAATGTATGAAATGAAGTCTTCAATTGTAATCTCTTCAGTCATCCATGCTCTTGCCATGACACTTCGAGTTATGTATTATTCTTTATTCTTTTTTAGTACCATATCTGATGATTCTTTATTCTTCAATAAAAATGTTCATACTAATCTCATAATTACTCTTGTGAGCACAAAAAAAAGAAATCTCTATCTTTGATGGTACTATGTAGATGTTGCAACTCTAGAATCAGTTTAATGTCTTTTTCTTTCTTTTTTAATTCATGTTTTATAAAAATGATACCCTTTTTGTTTGTATCTCTATCGTGTGTGTGTGTGTATATATATATATATATATATAGAGAGAGAGAGAGAGGGTTGGTCTGATGATTGCAAAAGCGTGAAACTCAGTCACAAACTCATGTCTATATAACTTATATACACACTAATATCTAACATAAGAAACCATTTAACAATTGGTTGTATTGATTGCAGAAAGGCTTTTCTAAAATACACTCTTATACATTTATCGATTAAGCATTGTTTGCTCTAAAGAAATATAATCTTATCTATTGTGTTTTCAGGTTGATAATCTGTGGAGTTGGGCCAGTAAAGTATTGCGTAAACATTTGAACAACATCAGTGTGGAAACTTTGGATGATTGGGGACAGCTTTTTACATTGATATGTGTGAGCCTTGTTTTCTTTTTAATTTGAGCAAATTCTTTGGGTATTATTCAAAGAAGTGAAGAATTTTTAAAAAATCTTTTTCCCAAGGGTAATATTTCCCTGGACATAATTATGGTTCTACTATTGGTCTTAGCTGGAAATAATTTTGCAGTTTTAAAAATCCTGATATTTTGAAGCCCAGTCTCAAAGGTTTCATATCCAAAATCCATCTATCACCATTTCATTTTCTGTTAAAATAATGACGGGATCTATGAGAATTCTTTAAAAACCAAGAAGAGTATCTCCCTACCCCACAATTAATTTGTCATAAGTGTTTATTTACATTCAATCAATGATGATTTTTTTACTTTTTATCCCTAATAGAAAAGTAGTGTCTCAGTTATAAATTTTTTGCTTAGTATTTCATTTTAATTTCAGTTACTCTTTTTCACCAAATCATCATCATTCTATAATTGTTAGTAAGCAGTGTAGATAGAAATAACCATTAATAACTTAGCTGTGTCATGTTCCCTGCTCCTTATCTGAGAATTGCTATAAAGACCAACTGAAATTAAGATGAAAAAATAATATTCAAAAATTAATTATTGACAATTATTATCAGAAAATTCAAATAATATCTGATCTAATGCATTTTTTTTACATTAATTTATTTTAGGATGTTGTTTGAAGATTTTGTTTCTTGTAATCTAGAATGACTGTTATTTAAAATTATTAAAAAATTCCATTTGATCATGTTTTCTGTTTTGTTAATGTGCATCTTTGCCAGCTATTTTATCATTTGAAAATGAGATTTAAAATGATAGATAAAAGTGATGCATTTAAACTCTGAATGTTACAGGATTAAAACTACTTTTTTTCTCCTTTTAGGAAAGCCGTGACCCTCGTAAATTATTCTGGGTATTTGATATTCTTATGGACAATCCACTGAATGGAGATGGTGGCTCTTTTGGAGATTCCAGGTAAAGTTCTTTCTCTACAATGAATTCTGATTGTAATCTGTTTGTTCTGTTACAATAATTTTTCTAACCTAGAAGGTTTGCTCTGTTTTTCTCAACCACACATGTACACACTCACATACACACACAATCTTGTCAGCATAAATGAATGTGAAAAGTTTCAAAATAGAATATATCTATAAAAGGACAATATGAATAAAGACAAAAGGAAAACTTATCTTTTTATCAAGGCAAAAGTCCCTCAAAAAATGTTTGCTAAGATAAGTTTTCATTTTGTCTTTATTCATAAATGAATGTAGCAAAAGAATGGATTTCTTTGTATCAATTACATTATTCTTGTCCTTGTTCATATTAGACTATGAAAGGTCATGTTAATTCTGCTTGTGCATGACTGTAATACTACAAAATATTAGGCAATTTCTTTGAGTTTATCCAGTACTAAAAGAGTGTATTCATGTTTATAGTTAAGTAATATCAAATCCAGCACTTTCTGAAATTTGCCGAATATTTTCTTTAAACATTTTTGTCAATTACACATTTTCCTCTTTAAATAATTTGCTTTCTTAATTTTTATTTTGAAAATTGTCATCACAGAACTAATAATCAACTGTAAATGTGAGTGTTGAAGGACTTCATCTATAACTTTGTTAACGATACTTATTTCTTTTTATTTCAGCCGATTGTATGTTCTCCAAATGGCACTGATAACACAAGAGTGGAGGGTGACGGAACTGCTTGAAAATATCCTCAGTTACTTGGAGCCTCATCTAGACCACCCTTATAAAAATGTTAGGGACCGCATAGGCAGGTACTGGCCTTGTTGAATTTTCATCTTACCCTTTTTATAACGGTTGTTTTAAAATTTACACCAGTTTCCCTTCCTTTAAAAAAAAAAAAAAAACAACTCCTATACAAAATCTTTCATAAAGATAATTTTTTTTTTTTTTTTTTTTTTTTTGTGGGTTGGATACAAATATAGTCTTTGGTAATGTGCATAAATGTTTTCCAATTTCAAATTAAATCTCTTAGTTATATTGGCATTTGTATTTCTTTTAAAAATTATCAACAACAGAAGATTTGTGCTAATTAGACAGATTCTTTCCAGGCTTATAAAAAATAACTTAGATCTTTGTTTATTGTATTTATTTATTCCCAAATGTGCTGCTGAGTATTAATGAAAAGGATCAGGATGTTATATTTAGTTACCACTACATTGTATTTTTGGATAGTTGACTGAAATCACTCTGTGCCACTTCTGTCTATTTGAAGGTGTAAAGTGTTGACAGTTAAGTGAGTCGGTTTGGGGAATCAATTCAAAAGCTGTTGTGAGTGACACATTTTTTCTTATAATGTATTTGTATCCAATTGGCATCGTAACACCTTTTAGCCACTGCCTATACCAGGGTCATAGAACAACATTTTAACCACTAGGCAAACTCTGCATTGGTCAATGCTGATGCTGGTCCAAGCTAATTGATGGCCACTGGCTGCTTTGATCCAGAACAACACTGCCCACTCTCTATTCTTGATCTCAGGGCAGTGGAAAATCAAAAGTTGTAGTCTTGCAGCACTTCAAGCCATGGCAGGTGCAATATTAAGGGAAAAAATATCTTTATGACAAAAAAAAAAAAAAAGAGATTCATGGGGTGAATCTTCAATGGGTTTATATAGCTCTTGGTACAACAAAAATTAACCCTTCCTGCATCATTCTATAATGTTTTTTTTTTCATTACATTCTCTTTGCTTTTGCATTAGAGGATTTTAACAGCTCAAAATTTAAATATATTACAAATATCAAGTTTAAACTTTTGAGATTTCAGAAGATTCTTTTTTTTTTTTTTTTTTTTTGTACAGCAAAAAGTTCACTGTTTTAATCTTTTTGCTGCATCCACTGAAGAATGACTTCAAATTGTCAGAACATCTTTCCCAGAAAGTTAAATAATATCAAGTCATTTGATTTTAATAATCAAAAATTAAAGATGTATTATTTACATATGTGATAAATTGTTCACATTATTTTTTTTATTTTTCTTCTTGTAGTTTGCTCTGCTATATTTTCCTCTATGATTATGAAATGCACCCTGATAGTCAGTCTTTCTTACCCTTGCGGAAGATGTTTGTGTGTAAAGTGTTGGCTGAATTGGAGCCACTCAAAAACTTATCATCTGAAGACTCTTCAAAAGGTGAGTATGTTAAACTCTGTTCTCAAGGCTGTCAAGAAGAATTAACATAAATACTGTTCTTTTGTCTTCTCTTTGTTGTAATGTTGTGCAACTAGTCAAAAAATATCACAGAAACCTGTTAAAGATGTGTTTATTTTTTATTGTGCTACTTTTCTCGTACTACCTGGACATTAGCCTTGGCTTATTTCTCAGTACCTCTGCAAATTCCAACAAAAACATGGCTGGTGTTGTGTCTCACCATTTACTGTAAACCCTTTGATGTTTTCCTTAGTCCATGATTAGTATAACAGTTTTTGCCACCACCTACACTTGGTGGTGTAACCACATTTTAGTGGTCTGGTCATCTGGGTCTTAGAATGACGTTTTAACGATGGTGCTAACTCTGCACTGATGCTGGTCCAAGTTGGTTATTGGTCACTGGCTGCTTCAATCAACACCAACTCTTCCCATGCTGTGTTCTTCATCTCAGAGCAATGGAAAATCAAAGGTCATAGTCTCGCAGTGCTATATTAAGGGAAAAAAATAACATTACAATAAAAAATAAAACAACAGATTTGTGGGGCTAATCTTCAGTTGGTTTATATAGTTCTTGGTGCAAGAAAAAATTAACCCTTCCTACATCAATATCTATAGTGACATTGTCTAAATTTCTGGAAAGGCTGGGTTCAAAATCTTGGAATCGGCAAATCTGGAGGCAGCCAAGGCGGACTTCAGAGGCACTCGACGTGGATCCTCAGCCCAAAGTCTCTGAGCTCCCCAAAGGATTCTGGGGATTTAGTGATTTCCCAATTTTCATTAATTCCAATAAAGGTTTTCTTTGTTCCCTATTTCTGCTTTCTTAATCAACTTTCCAAATTTAGAGAATTATCCACCTTCCTTGGGAGTAGTCACTGGGATTGCTTCTCTCTTAACTCCAACCTGCATCTTGCACTGCTACTCCTCACAGGCAGTGCTAAATTCTGCCCCTTCCATCTTCCTTCTCGGTATTCTAATTCTGCCTACTTCTCAGGGCTGGTATAACTGTCTTTGTGACAAATCTAATTTTTAAAGAACATAGGAGAAAGGTTGTGGTTTATTCTCCCCATTAATTTCAATTCTCTGATTCCTTTCCTGGACCCACCTGTCCAGCAAAAACATAAACCAGATCACCTGCCTATCATGACAGATTGATTTTTCATAATCCTAACCCTCACAGTGAGTTAATTCTCTGTTTAGATTTCTCAATTCGTTTTTGCTAACAAAAATATAATTCTTATCTGCTTCTCTTTTTGCCAATAACATGTGTTTTTCTAATTTCCCAAGAAAGAGATAAAGCCATTTACCAATTTGCTTTACCTGCATGCCAGCTTTTCTATAGATAAGTAAACTCTTGGTGCATCATTGCAATTTGTAGGGGTGAGGCAACCCAGATAACGCTTTCCTCACTTCCATATTACCAGGGAAAATGTCTTCCACTCTCTCTCTCTATCTCTCAGTTTATATTTCATTTTGGGCTTCAGCCTTTTTCAGCTTAGAATTAACATTTAACCACCTCACCGCCTCAGTGTCACACTAGTACAGCCTCACATTTATTGAACTTGATCAGCCTGAGTTCAGCTGTCTTGTTAGTGTGGACTTCCAAAACAGATATTGCCTCATTCACAAACAAGGTGCCAATGTCTTTTCCCTACCCACCTGAACAGTCTCAAAACCTGTGGCCTGCTCTTTCCTCTACTTTGTTGGTTCAAACAATTTCTTGTCATATAATTTGGACTACTGCATTTGGAACAGATGATGTTGCCACATGGATCCACAGTGGGGTGTCTCGTTTTTTTTGTATTGCACAACTGCTCCAACTGATCCCTTCACTGTCATCTCATCCTTTCCAATTGTTTGCACTCAAGGTATCAGTTGCTCAATGGTTAATGCATCCATCTTGGAAAAGGCATAAAGAAGCTACTTGATGTGGCCTGACAGTCCAGCTCATGGATATACATGTCAGAGCACATTCAAGCAGCCCTCAAAACAACACTTAATTTCTACAGTTCTGTTTTGACCAAGGACATATTTGTGAAGTAACGAATAAAGTTTTTAAACTAATTAGTGAGAACTTGTGAGATCAGCGCAGTTGACATTGCCATATCACAACTTTGGAGAAATTTTCAGTTTTGCATCCTGTTACATCATTTTTCATTTGTTCCATGCTATAAAAAATGTTTTTTTCTGACTGCATTTTCTGAATATCTCTTTATTTCTTTTAGATGTGGATATTTCCTCAACCCCAAATGGCTATGTAGCAGAAGCTGGGAAACAACTAATCAGTGGAAGTTCTCAAGACAGTGATGAAGAATCAGAAGAGAAAAAAAGATTAATACGTTTGTGTAAAACAGGTTTGTCCTTCATTTGTTCACTTTTTCAATTTACATCAATTTGGATTTAGTTTTCAGTCCACTTTTAAAAAATGCTCACATGGTGGAAGACTTTTCATAAAACCATCATAAGAATTATTTGATATTGAAGCTTTTTCAAATTAGACTTTAGATAAAAAAATTTGAGCCACCCTCTGGATTTAATAACTAGTAAGTTTCATGCCTTTTTTTGGTTTTATTAAGGCCTACTAAGCTAGGATGCTGAAACTATTTAACCCATTGGTACATGGCATCTGATTTTTTGTTAGAGACATGGGTACCTATAATTTAGAATTACCATTAACCAGCAAGGGGTTAATTTCATTGTTATTATAATGGAATATATGATAAAATCCTTCAGGAAGGGAAAGTCCATCTGACCTGAATTGAGCTAGTAAATTAGTTTAAAAAAAGCATACATGTTTCAATTTTTAGGAAATTCTTTGTAAACCAGAAGGTAACCCCAAACTTTTGACATAAAAGAAAAAGTGATATTTTAGATGCCTTTAATGCCATAAAAAGTAAATATGAAACTATTGGACTTTTTTTTTTTTTAACTGACTGTATATTTTTACTTAGTTTCATAAGGAAATTTTTATCTGCTTTGTCTGAGTAAATTTTGTTTAAAAATTTTGACTTTTTTTTTAAAATATTAAATTTTGATAACATCTTAGCTTCTCAATAAAAAGTAAAAATATTCATTAGATTCAATGGAATTAATGTTCACTCCCCCTATCTCAATTTTAATTTTAGAATCATTAAATATGCCTCACCCTACTTTCTACATTTTTTTTTCTCAATTTCCTTAGGAATCACTATAAAAACTTCTGGTGATAATTCTTTCTGCTTTCAGTTGTCAAATGGTTGGTGTTAAGTGTTAGTAAAATGTTGAATCCAGCATCAGAGGAAATCTATGGCTTCCTGCCTATTGTAAGTTTTTATTTTATTTTCCATCTATAGTGTACTGAAGAGTTTTTAGCCTAACTTAGATTCTAAAATCTGACCCTATTTATTTTTCATTGAGCCAAGGACTTTTCAGTATAATCTTTGTAATTATGTTATCTTTTTGTGCATACTGTTTCCAGTCATTCTGTTCACTACTAATTACAATTATAAAACACGAAAAGCAACTGCATACAGGAATTAATGGTGGAAAAAGCAAGCCAGACTCTATTAACAGATGTTCATTTTATGTTGGAATTTCATTTCCTCTCAAAGCCTCAGTAGAATGTTCACTCAATTATTGATATAATATTCATACACACACATATATTAGAAGGAAAGAAAAAGATGTTTGTACCAATATACATGCAGTTAAAATGTAATAAAAATAAATTAGTAAAAATGATTTTTCTGTGTCTGGAGTTTTAATTTCATTCTCTGAAGATTTTTTTTTTTTTATTGGAAAATCTTCTTTCTTTTCAGTTGTGCAGTCTTGTGAGCCAATCTCAGGAAGAGGAGTTACGGAAGGAATGCCTTCATGCCTTGGCCAATCTTGCCCAGGCCAATATTCCCATCAATGTTATCCCAGTTGCCATGCAGAGGGTGCAAGAGGTAGGCTATTTCAATCTTCCTTTTAAACAAGATCCTTCTCCTCTGACCCATTGTTTCCAAATAGGCTAATTCTCAATTTCATACTCAAGCAAGAGGCTAAAATCAAATATTTAAGTGTGGAAACTTTCATGAATTTTTGTAATTTTTATTTTTGATGAATTTATACTACAAAATGCTTCAAATAGAATTACAATAAGGCTGAAATTAAATTGATTTTCTGTAAACTTTGAGAATTCAGATCAAAAAAGATTTTAGAAATATATTTTGGTCAGACTTTGTCAAGAGAATCTTTTCTCAAGTACAATTGTCTATAAATTAAACCTGAATATTTCTGTCTTTTGTTTAGTTATTTTATACTTGGAATTGATTTCTTTGTTGCTCTTTTGTATGTGTAAAAATTTTGAAACTGTACTGAATGGCTACAAATGATTGATAGTTACAAATATTTAGAATTTTTTTTCTTTTTTTTCTTCTCTTTCAATAAATCATCTTTGCTTTTCATATCTTTCAGGTGACCACATTGCCTTCTTGGAATGCAAAATCTGCTGTGCTTAGTTTTTTGCAAGCAATGGTCTTCAACAATTTCTTTGTTCTGCACAAACCTTTGTATGTGCGACAAATCCGTTCCTTGCTCATGTTGCTAATCTGTAATGAACGACTTGAGGTTTGTTGTACTGCTTCTCATCACATACATTGCCCCTCTCCCCCCCATTTTTTTTTTTTTAAAGCTAAATTTCAAAATTTTTTGCAAGTTACTCACTTGCATTTGTCATCAGGAATTTTTTTTTTTTCTTAGATGCTAGTTTAATTTCAATATTTAAGATTCTCTTGATAAATTTCTGATGACAATGTAGACAAAAACAGCAACAAAAGTTATTCACAAGTGTTTTTATTGCCATTTGTAGCAATTCAAAAGTTTTGTATAAGAGTTTTAGAATGCACTTAAAAGGAATATTCTAATATTAGTGTAGGAAGTTAATAACACTGACATCTCATTTTAACAGATGTATTTACCAAGATTACTCTTTAGTATTTCAAGATATTTTTGTGTAAATTCTTCAATAAAACCAACAACCTCCAGACGATTTTGGAATCTTCTGCAACTCTTCTGGACAGCATCCTTATTTAAGTTGGTGAATGCTGCCATAATCCTGGCCTCCTTCAGTTCATCTTTAGTGCTACAAGAAGTTTTGCTGGTCTCTTGCTCAACTGCACCCGAGACATTATAATAAAGAGGGGTTGCAGGCTGGGTTCTCCTATTTGTGTAAAATGGTGCAGAGTCTTGTTGCTAGACATATGGTCTTCCAGCAGCCACCCTCTTGACACAGAGCTACACTGCTTGATGTGGGGCTCCATGTCTGAGGCCCTGTGGGAAATGAATGGTGTCATAAAGTCGTTATCACTAGTGACATCCAACTCTTTTCAGAATCCTCTGCACTGTCCTCAGATTAACACCCAAACACTCTGAAATGTTCGTATTGGACATTCCAGCATGAATTCCAAGCAGTACAGCATGATGTTTCCAAATTTGTAACAGAGTGAATCATGGTGCTCTTTTTCTCACACATGGTGCCCAACTGACCCTACTATACTGTGCAGTCAACAAAAACAAACATACACACACAAAATATAAAATGGTGATAATTTACCCATTGCTGTGTGTGTATGTATGTATGTATGTATGTATGTATTATATATATAGTTTTAAGTCTCTTCCATCTGGCTGATTTTAGAAAATCATTCCTAAATTCCATCCAAATTTAACTGTGAATATAAGATTTTATGATTTGACAATGGCTAAAATAGAGAAATTGATTTTTCATGTTTATCTTTTTCTGATTTGCTTTCAGGTCAGACAGTCAGCAGCTGACACATTAAGTGGTCTTTTGCATTGTGGCTTTTTGGAAATGGATAGTGAATTATTGGTGAGTGTCTGAATTAATTCTTCTTGAATCAATAGACATTCTCTGCGAATATTGAAGGCTCAAAAGAAGATACAACTCAAGGAATGTTTTGTCTGACATGTTTTGTCATTGCAAAAATCTTTATTAACTGTCATATTTGAAATGATTTTTAAATGCAGATCATGTACTGGCCAAAATTGAAAGAGTGCAATGTGATAATTTGCATATATATGCCAATACATCTGGGTCTATGATAGCTTGAACACTTAAGTAATTCTAAGTGTGCCTCCAAAGACATGTTCTCTATTTTGAGTAAGGCATATTCAGAATTCATTTGAAAATTCTGGAAACTATATATACCAAGTTCCTACAGCGTTCCCTCTGTAAGCAGAAGTGGATTTTGAGTCTGAATATTGTTTGCTTTTATTTATGAGATAACAATATATATTTTTATATATCAAGAACAGTATTGGGGAAATTGTATCAGAAAGTGGACTGTCTTTGATCTTAAGGAATGAAAACTGGTTAACTTTGTTTTTTCTGGCAGTTTCACATCTTGAGTTTAAGATCTGAAACTGTTACTTATCATTCAGCATTGATATCTGTGTCAGTACTTTATTTATTTATATATATAGTTGTGATCTCAAAGCAATGGTTCAGACTTGCTAGAGGCTTGAAGTATTCTGGCCAACAGTTTTTTCCCATTTATACTGATCATTGAGTGAGAAGGTCTATCTATTGATCCTCACTTATATAACATTGTACTACACTTTTTTTTTTTTTGTTTGCCCACTCATCTTGCACAGCTGCTACCAGGTGTTAGTACCTGACTTCCTTTGAGATAGATCTAGTACCATTCTGCTAAACCACATAGGAATTGTTTTTTCACCTGCAGAAGTTGGAGAATGTGGTTATCATTCCCATTAAACCAGTCCTGATGTGTGAACACATTCTTTGTTTTGTCTGGGTGATAATGTGATTAAATCTTCAAATACAACTCCCCACCCAAACAAGGCATCAGAGAAAGCTGCAAGCTTGTACAACTAGAATCTATAAAAAAAAAAAGATAAGGCTTCCATGTAACCCTGATTGTATATATGTATAGGAACAAGGATAAGTATTTGAAATTGTTATCTTTCATGACAACTTTCGGGATAAAAAGAATATTGGCCAAAATTAGCTATAGGATAAAGTAACTTATAAAAATTAAAAAAAAAAAAAAAAAAAAGGTATTTTTTGTTTCATCATAGATCTCTGCCCTGTTACTGAAATGTTCATATATGGCTTTGTAAGAGTATTGTGATTGTTTTTAATATCTCTACCAGCACATACAAATAATTCTTGTTCATTTTTTTTTTTTTTTTTTTTTTTACTTGCAGTCAATATTTGAGCGTCTAAGTAGCACCAAGCTTGGAGTAAAGGACAGTAGTTTTGGCAAACCCATGGAGGAAGCTGTCTTGCAGCGTTTGATCCATCGTCATGCTGGTGTGCTTGGCCTATGTGCCTGCATTGAAGCTTATCCATATGAAGTGCCCCAATTTATGCCGCAGCTTCTTGTTGACATCAGCACGCATGTTAATGATTTGCAGCCCATTCAGGTAGAAAATTACAGCTTTTCTTTTTCTTAGTTATAAAATGACATTACTGGCTTAGATCAGCTCTTCTACTAAAATTGGATAGATAACGTCTTTTATTGAGGATAGCAGGTGTGGTGGAATGATTAAAAGTCAAAGATTTAGAAATGATGGCAAAAAAATCCATATACCAAAAATCAATATGATTTCAAAATTTAAAATATTATACATGCAATTACAAGTAATTCATAATGAGTCCCAGTATAAATAGCTATAAAGAATTATTGACCGATTTTATCATTGTGATATTTTTGCATTATATTAAGTAACTAGCAGTAGAGCCCAGCGTTGCCCGGGGATATAACAGTAAGAGATAGATCAAGTATCCACCATCATAAAGACTGAAAAATAAAATTGACAAAGATTATTGTTTAAGGTTGACGGACACGCATGTCTTAATTAGTATTTTTTTTAATTTTTTTTTTTTTTTTTTTTTTTTTACGAATTGGTCAAACCCAAACAAAAACATTGTTTTCAATCGTTATGAGTCTCCCGATTGAGACAATAAGCAAGACAATAAGAAACATTACATGCCAAAAAAAAAATGAAGTTTTGTTGAAATCGGTTGAAAAATGTAGGTAGCCTTTCTGTAATCTTTTAGTTTTACAATTTATGATTTTTACTTATTGAATACAGTAAAAAAAATGGCATATTTTGCTTGTGATTCATAATTAGAATTCTGATTTGAATATATTTTCCACTCGTTGTTTCTAATACAAAAAATATTAACTTTATTTGGGTTTATTAATTATGATCTAACAAATCTTATTCATTTAGTAGCCTTTCTGTAATAATAATCTTTTACAATTTATGATTTTTACTTATTGAATACAGTAAAAAATTGGACACCATGTGTATTTAAAGTAATTTCCCGTTCCGGTTATTATTTTTAGTTAGGACTTGTGTATGTTTAGATTTCATTATCTTTCCCTAAAGATAAAGAATTTATCTGATGTTTGTATTTGTACAATCAGTAGAGATTGTTAGATTATTGTTTAAGGTTGACGGACACGCATGTCTTAATTAGTTTTTATTTTTTACGAATTGGTCAAACCCAAAATCAAACAAAAACATAGTTTTCAATCGTTATGAGTCTCCCAATTGAATAGAATTTTATTATAAATAATTGTCTTGTAAATGGAATTTTTAAAGTATTCTGAATGTTAAAAATAAAGAAAAAAGTGTGCAAGAGGATAAGAAACACTACCTGCCAAAAAAAAAAAAAAAAAGTGAAGTTTTGTTTTATCGGCTGAAAAATATAGGAAATCCAATGTGAGTTGTTCCCCTTCCATTTTCACGATGTCTCTTAATCGTGTTTTCAAATTGATTTTGTGCAAAAACAATTATATTTTTCCTATTTTTGGTGCTGTTAGAACCACCACAAGGTAATTTTATGTAGTCCTGTAAAGGTTTGTTGAAATCGGTTGAAAAATGTAGGAAATCCAATCCAATATATAAACGTTACAGACACACACACACACACACACACATAAAAAATCTGCAGATTGTGTGTAAGACTAGCCTCTGCAAATTGGAGGAGAGAATTATCAATGATAATGTTTTGACTTTGAATCTGCGGTCATCTCCCTTTAACCCTCTGTTAATAGCTGTTTTTTTTTATTTTTAAATGTACTTTTTATCACTGAAATTTTTCATTCCAAAAATGTGGCACAGAGGGGAAAAAGTTTGTGAACCATTGCCTTAATATATACCATTTATACAAAATAAAGTAATTCCTCTTCAGCTATAGTTACAAGACCTGGGCAGATTTAGTTTTCTTAGAAAATGTCTGGGTATTTTCAGGAAATTTTTAAAGTATTAAAGCTTTTCTTACTTGAAAATAACAGTTAATATTTTTGTCACTTGTTTTCCTTGTAACGCTCGTATGTACATGTTAACAGATTGAAGCATAAAACTTTGCTTGCTTTGATTAGATCTGCTCAGATGAGGAAATATTATCCATCATCAATGACGATACTCTTACAGTATTATTGTTTACTTTTTACTATGACCAGTTATAATTGTCATATTTTTTTCTCTATAGATGACAGTCAAGAAAACTTTGTCCAATTTTCGACGTACTCACCATGACAACTGGCATGATCATAAACAGAAATTCACAGATGATCAACTGCTCATCCTCACAGATCTTCTGGTCTCGCCTAATTATTATGCATAAAAACCACACACTTCAGTAAGTCAAACTCGAAAATCATAGCCTATTCCTATTTACAAGAATAAGTCAAGGCAAATGTTTTGATATTATTTTTAAATGATTTTTCCTTTCAAGAAATATTTTATGCAATAATAAGACAATGATATTTTTCATTAGCAATGTTATCAGCAACACCTAATTTTACCTCTTAGAATATGTAATAGAAATTTTTTTTTTTTTGCTTTATTAATATTCATCAGACTTTATAATACTTTTCTGATGCATAAATCTTTTTTTTTTTTTTTTGTAGGTGGGGATTTTCTCTCCCAAAATATGGTGATATCATTTCCCGCTCCATTGCCATTGATAGTTTGGATAGGAAGCAGTCTTCCCCCTAATTTGTTAAGAGGCAGCAGCTGGACATTTTCTGCAAAGCACTGCTATGCAAAAAAAAAAACAAAACAAAAAAAACTTGTTTCTCCTTTCTTCCATCATTCCCCCCTTCTGAACTGTGGAGATGAGAAAGACAAGTTTTTTCAGCTTTAAAAAAAAAAAATCTTATAATTGTAAATATCTCTCACCATTCTGGCATTAATTAATGTCCCTTTGCTGTCACAAGATTTCATTTTCATTTTTTTTCCAATGCACCTCCTTTCCATTGTCAAGTTGGCTTCAGTCTTAATGACTGAACCACTTCAGTTTTTGTACAGTTTTGTTTTGAAAAAGACAAAAAAAAAAAAAAAAAAAAAAACAATTTGGAGATGGCAAATGAAAATGTTTTTTAAGTTTATCCATATAACTTTCAAGTTTCTTAAATTATGTAAGCAATGAAAAGGCATTTGTCTACTTCTAGAATCCAATTACAGCTTTGTTTATGAATGATCTCTATTTTTATGAATGATTTTTATGAATGCTACTTAAAATTTTAACTATTTCTGTACAGTTTACTGTCAACCCTAGCCCTCCCCAAATTTGTTTTGCCTTCAAGCTGTGATGAATGGGAAGTGATAAAAAAGGTCAGGCACTTGTGCTGCTTTTGTCAATGTGAGATAAGCAGTGTGTATGTATGTATGTATATATATATATATATACATTACTGTGTGGGAAGTCATAATAGCCAAAAGCTAGATTCAGGCCCACTGCCAAATCAGAAAATTTTAGTCTTGCTGCTAGCAGTTTAGTGACTGTTTCTTTATAAGACTATTGTGACTAAAATTTCTAAATGCTACCAGCATGTTCTGACAGCAATTTAATAAAAACCCACTTAATGTCACACTTACAAAAACTTTAATTTCTTTATATATATTTTATTTTAGGAGAAAGAGGCATCGTGCACAGCCGAGAAGTATCTTGAGTTGTAATTGAATTCACATTATAATGTCTTGAAGTTTTTATTTACTTTTTGCCTTGAACTGAGATACTGTGGTGCACACATACACTCCCAATCAACTTGAGTGCTCGCATATCCAGTGCCTTAAATTTGCACACACACATGGCTTCAGTGACCAACTGAGCTGCTTGTTTAATGCCTGTTTCTCACTCCCACCGTCCACCTAAGGCTGAAGGTTTGTTTTAGAGAATCACCTATCTCCTCTTGTTTTTGAAAATTTGGCTGTTTATAAAAGACATTGAATTATTTAAACCTCTTACTATTGTTACTGGACTTGGTTCCAAAGAAATTTCTGCTGTAAAAATACAAAATCAAAGATTAAAGGATTGTGTAGATGTTCTGACTGTAAATAGACTTACACACAGTCACCGGCAACTAATGAACCTTTAGAAAAGGTGTGTTATTGTTGCCTGAAATGTGTGACTAAAAGGGAGGATTTCCCTCCCCTAATTCCCTCTGTGTTGTAAATGCAGTGACTTTTTTTTTTTTTTTTTGGTGCTGTTTTTTTTATTTTTTATTTATAAGCATTAAGACTGACAAGTGTCAGGAGTAAAGCAATCCATTGCAAAAAGAAATAGTTTATCCTGGTCACTAGGAGGAAAAGTTTCTTGGAATGCAAGAATCACTAAATTCCCTTCACAAAAAAAAAAAAATCAAACTTATTTCTACAACTTCTAATCAGTGTCAGACCAAAAAATATAAATGCAATGGTTCTCTTCTAAACAGTTTTTTTTTTCTCTTGTTTTTTTTTTTTTTACTTGTCTCAGGGTTGAAATTTTTTTAATATATTTGCTTGTAATTAGTTCAACCATTCAATGGAAAATAAATTAAAAAAAAAAAAAAAAAAGTATATTTCACACAAGTGTTGCCTGTGTCTTATTTAAACTTGTGAAAACTGCAGTGACTACACTCCCTTTTCATTTATCCAAGTTTGTGTTTAGATATACATGAAATTCAAAATGTAGTAGTGCTGAGCTTTTTCAGTTTAGCACAATGGAACAATGGTGACAATCCTCATTTTTTTCTTTTGGAGATTGAACAACTTTATCAGATTTTCCACTTAAGAAATACAAAACACAAGATGAAAATCTGTACAGTTTTTATTTGATGAAAAGTTCTACGAGAAAATCATTTATCTATGTGGATTGAGAGAAGGAGAAAAGCTGCCATTTTTAAATGATGACAGATGTTGAGTTGTCCTGGAATTTAAGACAGCAATAATAATAATAAACCTGGGTGGAGAGGTGCAAACTCCAAGGTAATAATGACAACAGGGTGGTGAGGAAGACATTAAGAAATAAAGTAAAGCAAAATTAAAAGAAAATATTTTGAAATTAATTCACAGATGTAAGAGAATCAGATAATTTTTTTTTTCTTGGGCCTGGGGTGGGTAGGAGATTAAACAAAAGAGAATTAATCCAGTGTAATCTGAATGGTGGAAAAAAAGGTTGCTAAATTTAAAAAAAAAAAAAAAAATATATATATAAGTTGTCATTCAAAAAATATATTACTATGTTGGAATGATTGGGAGATATTTTCTTTTTTTTTTTTTTCTTCTACTAGCAAACTCAGATTTGGGAATGAGAGAGAGGGGGTGGGGGTAGCTTGAGTCTTTGGTAAGAAGCTCGGTGGTGAATGTTGGGCACCTTAAAGAAAACTTAAGTTTCAAAAGTTATTAACAGGTAGAGAGCAATGCTCATATTTTGGGGGTTAGATTTTCCTTCTGAGAAGATTCTTTAAGGCAAGGGTAGTATTACTCGGTTTACTGTTTTTGTAAGTAGGAAAGGGGGTTTGTATTGCAAAAAGTGTGCTGTACAATATTCAAATAAAGAAAAAAGTGCCCCAGTGTCAACCTGTGTACAATTAAAATAATACTGGAACTTAAAAAGAAAAAAAAAAATTCCCCTTTGGTACTAAATTTTTTTTTTTTTTTTTTTTAATTTATTTTCAATAGAAAAAAGTTTAGATTCCAAACAAGGAAGCCAAATAAGAATTAAGAAGCTTTGGCATTAATTAGACAAAGTAAAACTAGATACATACTTTGCTGGGTATTTATTTTAAGATCTTTACCAAAAAAAGGCAGGATGGTTTCATGTTTCTAATGTTGACATTTCTAAGGACTATAGAACACATGCACTATTAAATAGTTTTATTTTCTATGCATAGCAAAATGTTTATCACAGTACAGTTTGCATATTCTACCCAAGTACTGGCTCAGATATCAAGATTTCCAATGTTACCTAAGTGCAATTCCAGCCCTTTGCAACTTGATTCTTCTAAAGAAAGGCTAAGTTTCAAGAGAAAGACTTTTAAATCTGAATGTTGATTGGCTAATAATTGTATATAGAAAAAATATTCATATTTACTTGGTTAGCATCAGATTCCTGAAATGAGTGGAAAATATATATATATATATAAAAAAAAACAATTTCTTCTTGCAAAAAATTTAACAAAGAATAGAAAAAGATATTTAATAATAAAAAACTAAAAGGATATTGGGGATGAAATAAAAACTCATTTCAATATAGAAGAATAATTGACAAATGTCTTTAAGTTATATCCATCTGGAGGTGTGAGTATCAGTTTTCTTTTGTTTTTCCAGTTATGTACACATGAAAGAGGAACTACACAACTGATTTTTCAATGGAAGACACTGAAAGGAGAAGGAAGTTTTGTTTTGGTTGGTTGGTTTGTGTTTCTTGCATACAGATCTATTTTGATGAAGAGAAAAAAGATTTTTTGCAATAGGAGTGGGGAATATATTTAACAAAAAGTAGTCAAGTTGTGCAGCAAAATTCCTGCTTTAAAAAAAAAAAAAAAAAAAAAAATGTTTTTTCATCTTCTCTCTTTTTTTTTTTTTTTTGATGTCAACAGAGAACCAAGAGGCAGTCTTATCTGTAAACATTGAGTTTACTCAAATTCACATATTAAATCAGCCATACCAGACGCTAAGAGACATTTAAAACTTCATCAATTGATTTCTCTATCAAAATGTTTACTCAGTTATGATCAATTCAACTGTTCTCTTGTGGATAATTTTGTTTAGTTTCAAAGCAAATTTCCTTGATTTACTAAAAACAAAAGTTTACAGAAATCATCTGTCATAATGCCCTCTTGACAATATTGATTTCAAAAGTTCAATTTCCAGAGAGACTAGATGAATTTTTTCCCTTCAATTTTTAAGTCTCTACTTGTGGAATAGGAATAGGACATTTTTGTCTGGTAGCACTTGATAAACCCAAGTTATTAATATTCAGCTCATTGTGGAGAATATGAACAGGCACATTTTAGAACTGTTGGTCTCCAATTGGTCAATAGTGCAGTTACAAATGGAGATGCAAGGAGAAAATGAAAGCAGTAGTCAGCGGCATCGAATCAAAGGGAGATAACCAAAATATTTTAAGTACTTGGATAACCACAACCAAAGATTCCAAAACAAGGAAGTTTCTACATTTTTTTCAAGTGATTTGTTTATATAGTTGTTGAAAAGTAAGTCACATGCTAATATTTTTAAATACTGTACCTGACACAATGACAAACAACTGAAATTAAATATAATGCTCTAATATTTGCTTGTAAACTGATTGTTTTATTATAGTTTTTAAACACACACTTATATATATATAAGAGAGAAATGTGTGTTTTCTTTTTGTTAAGTGATCTACTGATAAACAATATACCTGATGACTTTAAGATGATTGTATTGGGCATTTACTCCTAAAATACAGCTATATTGTTTGGGGGAAGTTAAGTCAGCAACAGATTTCATTATAGAAACAAAAAAAATAATAATTGAATTAAGAATTCAACTTATTACTTTAAAAAGAAAAAAAGCATATCTTCAAATAGAAAGTTCATTTAATGATCATTGTTAGTATAGACCCTACCCCTCCCATTTATGAGAAATAACTGTTTCTTTACATTGGCACAAGGAGGGGAAAGAGATGTTAAATTTACTTTCACATCCACCCAAGGAACCAACCAACCCAATTTTGTTCAAAAGTTCACTTTATATTTACACCCCAGTCAAATTTAAGAAATTTTTAAATAACTTCACCCCCACCCAGCACCAGTGCCTATTAACTTTTTTTTTTTGCCTGTCCTAAAAACCTGTTATCATTTTAAAGAAAATCTCCAATTTAAATTCTAAAGAATTAATGGATTTATTCTTAATCTGACATTTTGATTACTTCAAACATTACTACACTGTCCATTAGTAATTTAAACTAGACTGTCCATTCAAACTAGACTGTCCATTCGTAATTTAAACTACACTGTCCATTAGTAATTTAAATTGTTCAAATAATTTAGCACTGAATATCACTTGTCATGAACTGAAAAGAAATTCATAAATTGCACTTCCTTAGAAGTTTACTAATGAAAAATCAGATGGAAGAGAACTCTTTTGTACATAAAGTTATTCTGCTTGGCATGGACAATATCTTAATATTAAATAAAGTTTACTACAAGAGTTTTAATATATTCATCAATATTTTAATAAGATTGAAAGCAGAAATCTGGAGTTCAAATCCTTTAATAGGCACTGACTTTTACATATTTATTAAATATATTTCCCTCCCCAATTAGAATCATTAATACAATACTTAGAAGAATAAGACTTATTTGTATTAATATTTCTTCAGCTTTTATTTCTTTTATATTTTTTTCTACACTTTGATTATTATTTTGTCATTACTTCTGATCCTTACAGCTTAACGAAGAATAAAACTTGTTCATTATTTTGAATCCGCATCACTTAATGATTGGAGAATGGTAATCTGAAGATTGTGATAAAAAGAAAATGTCTTCCTTAAGAAATTTGAACACACTCTTACAAGACAAAAGCTGTTCTCCATGAATTTCACTTTGTGACAAAAATTTGCTGAAGTCCAACAAATAACTTCTATGCACTATTCTCGCAAAATATTGTCAGTTTATTTTTCTTGTGCTGCATTCAAGACTGGCTTGGCTCAACAAATGATTGCTTTTAATATTATTTAAAAAGCAAAGTCTTTCAATCTTATTTGCTTAAAACATTGCAAGCCTTTACAGTTTGCTGAGGAAGTTTTGTATTTTTTCAATTGCCAATCTTTTATCCCTCTGAATCTGACAATCAACGATAAAGTAAATGGTTAAATTAAACAACTTATCGACAAAAGAAATATCGACATGTTTGATAAAATGGAAAACCTAGTTAAGCTTTAAAATTTCAGAGAATGATGAGCTCTCAAAATATTTGCAGCCAATGAGAATTCCCTAAATTACTGTATTTTTCAATAAGGCACTCCTAACCCCCACAGAAAAAGGAGTTTTAAACCTTCATCTACACTTTGTACAGTGAAGGTTATAAGTTCTAAGCATTACAGTCTGTAGGAACTAGCTTAATCACACTGAGAAATGGTTTTTATGTTGTATTAAAAAGAGAAAAATTATACTCAGACAGTAAAGTTAGTACATGAAAATACACAAAAAATATTTCCTCTTAAATTGGAATCTAAGTTAACTTTTGTTAAAAGAAATTGTTCAGTTATTATAGAAAATACAAATTTGGAATCTTAAAAAGGCAATTAACAGCCACAAGGAAAAGATGAAGTTATCATTCCAAGGTAGCAGTTAAAGGTTTTCATGTGACAGTTTTTAATTCCACTGAAGAAATCTTTAAATTTTATTTAAAAAAAAAAAAAAAAAATCTTGATGACTTTTTCCAATAAACTTATTCAATAAGATTTTTTTTTCTACCTATTGTCATGAATTAAAAACCATTTTCAATTGGCAAGCTTACTCCCTCATATATACTTTATTTGGAAAGAAATCAATCAATAGCAACTCTGCTCCTTGTCACTTCAAGAGAGATGTTACCAAACAAGTCTTGTAGTTGTTTCATCCTTAGTAGAAATTCACCTCCCCACACAGCATGGAGAAGGTGGGGGTATTAATTACAAATTAATAATAATACTGCTATTTTTATAAATAAGACATTAAAAGAGAGAATGCCAATACATTTTTGCAGTGATAAATCCTCTAACATTGACTTAGAGAATTTGTCTCTCCTCTTCACTCACTTTTATTCCATGTCTATAAAAAAAAGGTACAAATTTACAATAAATAATCAAGGTTTATAGACGCCAAAATTCTACAGTGAAATTTTACCAAAAACCTTTCACGTAACATTTTTAACATCCTGTGGGAATGAATAGATGACAAAATTGTAAATACATGGACTTTTTGCGGGAAATCTATTTTCTTTTTGGAATCAAATTATCTCCCCTTGATTAGAAAAACGAGCCACTTACTGACGGTGTGCGTGTGTATGTGTGTGTGCGCGCGTCTGTGCAAATATGTAATGTCATGTCATTATGATTTAAGGAAATAAAAAATTATGCCGGTTACACTTCTGGAATATTGTATAGCTTGAGCTGAATCTTGGAGTGGGAAGAATAAGTGCCTCAAGTGGTCATGTCCAGTTATCGATCAAGCCAGGGAAGTGGTACCCATTGAGGTTGCACTTCAAGGCGGTTGATTTCAGTAATCAGTTCATCATAAGCCTGTGTCAAATCACTATTGACTATAATGAAATCAAAATAATGACCATATGCATCTTCCATTTCACGAGCTTTCTCTATGATGTCCTTCAGTTGGTTGTCCTGCAAGAGAAAGAGAACATTCATCAAGAAATGGGGCTGAGTTCAATTTAAAAAAGAGTTTTGTTTTTATAAGGATAGAGGAGGATCCAATATGATTTTAGGCCACATCAACTCCTACACAACGGTCATGCAGTGCCAAAATGTCTTAATATTTTTCAAATATTCAAAATTTTATGCCTGTGTTTTACTTTTAGCTGAGTTGTTTTTAAATATTTTTAAAAATTTAAGGTATTATTTTTAAATTTATTTACATAGAAGATTTTTAATACAAAATTTGTTTAATTTTTTTCAAACATCCAAGATATTTTGTTATAATGCTTGAATATATTACAATTTGTTCAAGGTAGAAATATCATAATTGGGCAGTCTTTTTCAAAAGAGAAAACAATTTCATATGCCAATGGTTAGAAAAAAAAAATGTTTTTTCACCCGTTTGTCTCCTATGTTAAATGTTTTCTTTTGATGATCAATAAACTTCAAACTAAATTCAAGAAATCATTCAGCTTACAATTCCTAAAATAAGGTCTTTGAAATTTTATCTAACAACAATTCATCTAATAAGGTTTTGAAAAAGAAATAACATTGGATAATCTCACTTACTGTATCTATTTAAAATGAATTATTCTCATGCAGCAAGTTTATAACCAGGCTTGACTTCAAAATGTTGGAAAACTCAATATTATCTCTTTATGAAGAGAGGAATGAAAATGTCCACTCATACAAATTCTTGCCTTAAATGAATAAACTTCTTGATGTGTGCAATTTTGAACATACCTGTAAGTTAATTTCCTGACTGCTTAGATTTTGTCTGAGGGTTTCTAAATTGGATGGTCGAACAAAAACAACATAAGGCTTCAAATCAGACTGCTTCAAGATTCTCAAAGACTGCAAAAGAAGTCATTTGAAAAATGATCAATAATAATACAAATAATAATAATAGAAGGAATTTTTTTTTCTTTAAAATTAAATCATTTTCAAATTTTAAGATTTTATGTTTCAGAAACAAGAAAATTTTTTAACTTCTAGAAAAGGAAAATGATTTGAAGATTATCAAATAAGAGGAGAATTTGTTTTCATTCAAAGAATTATTTTCATCCAAATGTAAAAAGCTGAATTTCTTATTATTTATATTTTTATTAAATTAGGCATTGTCAACCATTATTAATTTTTGACTAGTACAGGAATCCCTTGATTAGTACAATTACTATTAGAATGTTTTACCACACTAACTGAATATTATGTATGCACTAATCGATTTTTGGTATATAAAAATTTTAGCAGACTAATCAAGAGAATTTTGTATTTCTTTCATTTTGATCATTAAAAAATTGCTACACTGTTTTATAAAATAAAGCCATGTTTGATGCATAACCACCTGAAGAGGTGAAGAAAGAAGTTAGTGAATATTTGTAAGACTGTTTTAACTGTATACTAGAGAAGGTGAAAGTCTTTATTTCAATACTAGAGAACCTTTCTTTTTTCCCCTCTTTTTGCAGACAATAAAAATGTGTAGAAACTTTCTAATATTGTAATTGAAAGAAAAAAAGATTGAATGAGTGAAACCATTTTGCTTACCTCTGGATGCAAATTGAGCACACAGATTCTGCCTGACACCACAACGGTTTGTACGGAGTCTAAACTGGTGCCATAGAGGTTCTTCTCAAACTCTCCATATTCAATAAATTTATTATTGTTGATATCCCGCTCAAATATTTCACGGGAAACAAAATGGTAATCTTTGCCATCAATTTCTTCAGGTTTCTTAGGACGACTTGTGTCTGAGAGAAAACAAGACAAAAAAGTAGTCAAAAAAATAATTCAGACTCTGGATTGAAGCAGGACGAACAAATGTTATTTTATAGCAAATCAACTCTAATATTTACTTCACTTGGTCAATATGGCCAGAGCAATAATAGGGGTATGAAAATTGTGTAACACCAATCTTCCAAGGAGAAAAGACTTGCCTGCTATGAAAACTAGAAGAATAAACATCTAGGAAGATTTTGGTTATTACTTAGGCCTGAAAAGACTTTTTTTTATTTTTTTAAATGCTGTGCCCCTTCTGAAAGTAAGCGATAATGTCTCTCTACATGTTCCTTTTCTTTATTATCACTAAATAAACATGAATTCTTGGTGAAGATAATAGAGGGTTTCCTGTTGCCTTCTCTATGATTTTAACTTCAGGGTTATCTTCCTGTTAGACTGGCTGCCAACCAAGGCTAAAGGGCTCAGTCTACCCTGCTATTTAACTCATAACTGAAGGCAAAAAAAAAAAAAAACGAAAAACAAAAATGGAATCATATTTCACAAAGGCATTTATGCAAAAGTAAATGACACTGACTAGACCAGAGTTCAAATTTGGCTTACTAATTCCACTTTCTGTATTGATAACCATTATATCACCTGCAAATATTCCTATAAAATAGTCAGAATTTCTAACAAGTTGTTCCAAGTAGATTTTCATTTTTTTTTTTTTTTAAATTTTATACCTTTTCAAATATTTAAATTTCAGAAAGAATTGGGCAGGCCAGAAGAGATTGGCAAAAAATATGTTTTATGTAATTTTATCAGTTTCTGAAAATTAAAAAGTAAAAATCCTATAATTTCAGACTCGTGTCTGTGGAGAATGCACTGTAGTGTAATGGATGACAACTTGGAGAACTGAGTTTGAATTCAGTCAAATTTGTTAGATTCACTTTCACACAAATACTCTTGAGAAAGGTATGAATCCATCTCTTCTCCCCCAGCTTTGGGTTGAATAGCACGACAGACTGGATTCTTCAGCTCCAATTGGCAACCAGTCTACCACAGAAAGAAATGGCAGCCTACTGTGGGAAAATTCTGCCTCATCAGTCATGTATTGAAAGATGCATGATCATGAAAGCATGTATCATGTGGCATTTAACTGACTGATTTGTGTAAAAAAAAAAAAAAGCATAGGATAACTGCCTACTATGACTTGTTTGTGAACTAATTCACCAGTGTCATAGATGTTGCCCACCCAAAGTTGCCTTTCAGTCACCAGACATATTATAAAGTGGCTTGGGTATTTTTAATGTGATGTGATATAATAGTTAGCAAAAACGTCTCACTAGATCAATTATGACTGAACAATGAGTTCAGTCCTCATTGGGTGTCCCCCACTCTCAGCCTTGTGAAAACCACCATACAAGCCATTTCTCCTTGCAAGCAGAATTCTTATTATTACAACAGAAGATGGGTTTCTTATTGGCAAAATAGAAAAAAAATGAATGGTCTTCTTACGAGGGGCACTGCTGCAGCAAAACGTTCATAGTCAGACTCCATCAATCTTGCCCTAAGATCCTCTACCTACATTGGATGGGCCAATAAGGACAACGGGCCGCTTTCGATTTGGTTCTTTGGAAGGTATTGTGCTACTTCCTCATATGTCAACACCTCTTCCATTTCTGAAAAAAATATAAAAAAAACATGATAAGATAATGTAAACTTTTATCATTTCAATGTCTAGGATAGATAGGTTTGCCTATCATCTGCTTCTGATCTTTTGAACAATAGTAGAGGTTTATCCCAGATTTTCTGTTTAGGACTGGCTTTCCAGTTCCTTCTAAACCTTCTCATTCTCTTTCATCTTGATGGCATTATCTCTTTGCTTGGGGTGAATCAATAAAAAAAGAAAAAGAATTTAATTAGACACATACCTAGTGTGTGTGTATATATATATATATATATATATAAATAAAAATAAGGTATGCTATATTTATGGGTTAAAGTGCTCAGTATCAAGGATAGAGCCTATGTAAATATGAAAATGGACATTGAGCTTCTAGAATAATTTGAAACAAAACCGTTACCACCCACCTAATAACCATTAAGATAATACAATAGACCTTCCTACCCATAATGCAATATTGAGCAGTAAATATATAAATAGTCAAGCCAAAATGCAACACATAAGATTGATTGTGTTTAAGGATGAAACAGTCACTGCTGGGTGCTGAACTCAATGTTCACTATATATATATATATATATATATATATATATATATATATAGTGTAACATAATGACTGTTCAACTTGAAGTTTCACAGATATCTGTAGTATCTTTCAACTTGTCAAAGATTCAGGATTAGGCAGCATGTATTCACCAAAACAAGTTCGATTAAAAAGAACCAACTACGTCTGTTTAATTTTCTATTGTATTTTTCCAATTTCCTGATAAGGTGTTGAATATTGTGCTTGAAGTTGTGGATAAACTGTTCAAAGTTCATATTTTATTATTTATTTGTACTTTCGACTTTCGCAGTCATTATCAACAACTGATTTGGTGCCTGTGTGGTAGTTAGAATTCCTTTGCCTACATCCTGGCATTCTTCCGGCTTCTTAAATAATACCAGGATGGAGATAAAGGAATTCTAATGTGTTTGGGGATATATATATATATATATATATATAAGGCAGGACCTCTGTGTATGTGTGTGTGTGTGTATTATGGACATATATTTTGAGGTTAATTAGGACAATTTACTAAGTCAATTCTTCAAATGGTCCAAATCAGTGCTTACCTTCTCTTGTGACCGTATTGTACAACCCCTTCCTTTTCTTCTTTTTATCATTCTTCTTTATACAAATCCAACTCCTGCCTTTCTTTGACTCTCTTGTATCCGAAATAACCATTTGTTTTTGTAGCTCTCGCCTGCATATAAATACAAATATAATTGTAAAATGAACGAATCCGACAATTAACCAAATGTATCTGCCTATATTTCTGAGACAAGGTAATATGTACACTATTTACATTGTTCAGACTATCATCCTCATCTTTGTTGCCATATTTATCACAACGTTTTGGCCATTGTGCACACCGGCCTTCTTCAGGTGGTTGGAATGTCAAACTGAACCCTTTATTTCACTCACTGGGATAGACTGACATGCTGTTATCTTTATTTACTACTATGTAGTAATAGTAGTAGTATTGGTAGTAATATCATTTGATTGTATAAGATGAAGTGTTCTTGGTCTCATGTTTTCCACTGACAAAGTGAAACAATTATATTAACTGCTAGATCTGCTGCTAGGAAAGTCGGTTTATGGTGTCATACTAAATAATTTTTCTTGCCAGAATCCATCTTGCACATTTATAAATCTACCATTCATTTATGCATTGAATATGGCTGCTACATCTGGTCTGGTGCTCCTGCCATATATTTAGAAATTCTTGACAAAATCTAAACAAAATCCAGTAATGTTATCGATCCTAACCTGGCATCTCAGCTTCAGCCATTTTCCCACCATTGTAAAATAGCTTCCATCCCAGTGTCTTTTCTATAAATATTTTTATGACAATTGTTCTAATGAGCTTTCCTCTTTAGTACCTTGACTGCATGAATTTAAGCATAGTAGGTTGGCAACTAGGTCTCACCATTTTACTGTTGAAATAAATGTAACCGTAAGTTCTATTCTGATAGTTTCTTCTCTCACACATCTCACATGTGAAAATCTCTTCCAGTTTCTTTCCTTTCAACTACAATCTTCAAAAGTTTAAATGCAACATCTTTTGTCTTTCTGAATCATGTCCTTTTATTGCCCTTTCTCATCACTAATGTTTTCTCATTTCTTTAACCCCTTGTGTTTTAGTGGCATTATCACCTTGCTTGGAGTGAATTGATTCAAAAAGAAAATATTAAGTTTTAACCATTATCTATTTCATCCTCTCTCTCTCTCTCTTAGACTGCACTATCTATATAAATTACTGAGAATAAAGAATAAACCTAATAATAATAATAATAATAAGAAGGGCCATAAAGTTCAATCTTTAAATTCAAGGATCAAAAATGCACAATTATACAGCTCTTATCTCATGGATAAAACTTCTATTTGACTGCAGTTTTGGTCAATTATATTTTAAGCAGACTCTAAAAGAGAGCTCAAGGGAAAAGAATGTAATTTATCACTGTTCAAAAGTTAAATTTGAACCTGACAGTAAAAGTTTTAAGGATTGGGAAATTATTATATATGTTTGCCAATTACTATCTATATATAGCTGTAACTCTGAAATAGGTGTGTAGCAGAATGGTTAGAATATTTGCTTTCTGACCATGAGACTCCGGTTCAAATCTCACTATGGTCGATTTGTTAGGTGACCTCTTGATGTTAGATTTTATGTTGATGTTTGAGGTGGCGACCCCAGCATACAGCACAGTTGAAAAGTACCTGGAAACAATACCACAGTGAAAGTGAAAATTAGGTAGATGTAACTGTTCAGAAACCATCAATAATTGTGCTAGTAGAAAGTCACAAGTCATCATGACTGAAGGTTCATTGTTCAAACTATTGATGTTACAGAATGCAGAAACTGGGCCAAAATGGCAAAACTATGAGCAAGTTTTGAATATAAGACCAAAACAATGTGAAGACAGGAAGATGGCCAGAAGAATTTTCTAGAGTCAATGTGCCTCCCACACTGAAAATCCTTAGCCAGGATGTTTTGAAATGAGTTGAAATGTGTTACCCTGACCACTTCCCTTCTGGTTCCTCTTAGAAATCATGTTACCCACAAATATCCCTTGTATAATAAAGTGAAACAAAATAAAAAGAAAAAGAAGTTGTCCTTCATTGATGCAATCTATGATGTAGCATTGGGGTCAGGAAGAATTGAAGCCAAAGGCAATGTGAAAAGCAACATTGATCACTCCAGATCAGTGTTTCTCAATGTGGGTACTAGTGTCCCCTTGTGGGCTCTTATGTTGAAAGTGGGCACTGGGAGTTTTTATTTCATTTAGGAGGTGCTAAACATACTCTGGGGGACAGTGGGCATTTATCTATTTTTTTTTTTTTTTTTAATTTTCAAATGTTATTCAATATTGTCTATAAAAGGAAATTTCTGAAAGGTATCTAAAGCTGTGGGAAGCTATCAAACTTTCTTCATTGCTTTTCCAACTTCCTATATAGTTGAATGTAGTTTCAACCCTATTACACAGCTTCTTACAAAACAAAGAAACTGCCTGCAAATTATAAAATGTGGAGATTTACAAATATAGTAGCATAGAACCTAGATTAAAAGCCTTAACCAATAAGCAACAAAGTCAACCATCGCAATGAAAACATTGAGAAGCTATGAAATGAACCTAGAGTAAGAGCCTCAGCCATCGCATTGAAAACAGTCAGAACCTTACCAAAAAGTCAACCATCGCATTGAAAACATTGAGATAAGCTATGAAATGAACCTAGAGTAAGAGCCTCAAGCCAGTCAAGCACCAAAGTCAACCATCACATTGAAAACATTGAGATAAGCTATGAAATGAACCTAGAGTAAGAGCCTCAGCCAGTCAGCACCAAAGTCAACCATCGCATTGAAAAAACATTGAGATAAGCTATGAAATGAACCTAGAGTAAGAGCCTCAATGATCAGCACCAAAGTCAACCATCGCATTGAAAAACATTGAGATAAGCTATGAAATGAACCTAGAGTAAGAGCCTCAGCCAGTCAGCACCAAAAAGTCAACCATCGCATTGAAAAACATTGAGATAAGCTATGAAATGAACCTAGAGTAAGAGCCTCAGCCAGTCAGCACCAAAAGTCAACCATCGCATTGAAAACATTGAGATAAGCTATGAAATGAACCTAGGTAAGAGCCTCAGCCAGTCAGCACCAAAGTCAACCATCGCATTGAAAACATTGAGATAAGCTATGAAATGAACCTAGAGTAAGAGCCTCAGCCAGTCAGCACCAAAGTCAACCATCGCATTGAAAACATTGAGATAAGCTATGAAATGAACCTAGAGTAAGAGCCTCAGCCAGTCAGCACCAAAGTCAACCATCGCATTGAAAACATTGAGATAAGCTATGAAATGAACCTAGAGTAAGAGCCTCAGCCAGTCAGCACCAAAGTCAACCATCACATTGAAAACATTGAGATAAGCTATGAAATGAACCTAGAGTAAGAGCCTCAGCCAGTCAGCACCAAAGTCAACCATCACATTGAAAACATTGAGATAAGCTATGAAATGAACCTAGAGTAAGAGCCTCAGCCAGTCAGCACCAAAGTCAACCATCACATTGAAAACATTGAGATAAGCTATGAAATGAACCTTGAGTAAGAGCCTCAGCCAGTCAGCACCAAAGTCAACCATCGCATTGAAAACATTGAGATAAGCTATGAAATGAACCTAGAGTAAGAGCCTCAGCCAGTCAGCACCAAAGTCAACCATCACATTGAAAACATTGAGATAAGCTATGAAATGAACCTAGAGTAAGAGCCTCAGCCAGTCAGCACCAAAGTCAACCATCACATTGAAAACATTGAGATAAGCTATGAAATGAACCTAGAGTAGAGCCTCAGCCAGTCCAGTCATTGAAAACATTGGATAAGCTATGAAATGAACCTTGATTAAGTCAACCATCGCATTGAAAACATTGAGATAAGCTATGAAATGAACCTAGAGTAAGAGCCTCAGCCAGTCAGCACCAAAGTCAACCATCGCATTGAAAACATTGAGATAAGCTATGAAATGAACCTAGAGTAAGAGCCTCAGCCAGTCAGCACCAAAGTCAACCATCGCATTGAAAACATTGAGATAAGCTATGAAATGAACCTAGAGTAAGAGCCTCAGCCAGTCAGCACCAAAAGTCAACCATCACATTGAAAACATTGAGATAAGCTATGAAATGAACCTAGAGTAAGAGCCTCAGCCAGTCAGCACTAAAGTCAACCATCGCATTGAAAAACATTGAGATAAGCTATGAAATGAACCTAGAGTAAGAGCCTCAGCCAGTCAGCACCAAAAGTCAACCATCACATTGAAAACATTGAGATAAGCTATGAAATGAACCTAGGTAAGAGCCTCAGCCAGTCAGCACCAAAGTCAACCATCACATTGAAAACATTGAGATAAGCTATGAAATGAACCTTGAGTAAGAGCCTCAGCCAGTCAGCACCAAAGTCAACCATCACATTGAAAACATTGAGATAAGCTATGAAATGAACCTAGAGTAAGAGCCTCAGCCAGTCAGCACCAAAGTCAACCATCACATTGAAAACATTGAGATAAGCTATGAAATGAACCTTGAGTAAGAGCCTCAGCCAGTCAGCACCAAAGTCAACCATCGCATTGAAAACATTGAGATAAGATATCAAATAAAAGGTTTTTTTTTAGGATTTTAATCATTGGCATTTATAATAGAAATAAAAAACAATATTATAATCATTTTTGCGTTAAGTGTTATTTTTCTATGAAAGATAAATTCAGTCTAATATTCAAAATGTAATTATTTTGGCAAAATATTTTATGCCCAAAGAGGGCACGGGTTGAAAAAAAGGCTGGGAAACACCTGCTCTAGATGATGTGCTCTCTCCCAGAAACTGTAATTAAGATCTGTTCAACATAGTTGCAGTATAAATCACAGGTGGATTCTGTGGATGTTGAACAAACACAAATGTGCCTGAGCAAGCGACTACAACAGAGATTGTCTAGCCAACCTAGCTGACTGATATATTTGGAAAAGGAGTAGCAGAGGCCATTACGTCATTCTGAAATGCTTGAGTAAAATACAAATGGAAGTTATAAACACTGAAAATGCCATTAGATTTCATAAAGTTGAGCTCCTCTATTTCTTCTCACTTTGGCTAGATGTTTGATATTAGCTATCAAGAATGATCAAAGCATGTACATACTGTTCTTGGAAGTTTTTAGAAGGTACAAGTCCAGCTAACACGTGCTGCTGATCTTCTTTGTCTCTGTATGCCTGCCACCAATTTGGATCTTCCTGATCAATAATATGCAAAATATCACCCCTCAAAAATGAAATGCCCAGTTCACGACAGGGGATATAGTCGTCATCTTCTGGTTCATAGTTGAACAAGGCTCGAACATGCATCTGGAAGACAATGAAAATATATTTAACAAAATACGAACAATAAAAATGTAGACATATTTAGCAGCTGTGATGTATCTAATGAAAGAAAATATTTTCATATCTTACTTGACCTTATCAGAAATAAAGGTTTTGAAATTAAAGAAATGTTATACTACTTTAATCTAGATCTTTCTGATTCGCAAATACATTTCACCAGACATGTCATCTGAATGTGAGCACTAAAAAAGCAAAACCTAAAATAAAAAAAAAAAAAGTCTTTTGCATAAGGGTCCCAAGCATCACATTCAGTCCACAAAACAAACCTCTACAAAAAAATAGCCAATCACAAACATTGGTGGAAAAAAAAAATAAAACGATCTCTGTTAAAGCACAGATATAAAACCACTCCTCACCACCAACCAACATTTCAGCTCAACACCTCAAACTTGTCACAGGACCACCAACCAATTCACACAACTCACTAGTGTTGAATTCAACCCTGAAGATAGATGGATCAACCCTACCAAAAACACCCCACTTGTGCTACTATGTGGCTTCCACCATGATTTCAATCAACCAACTCAACAAATGCTAATTCCCAGCCTTACCAATAAAAACCTTACATTTCCTTACCAATAGCAACTAAAGAATCACATATCAACAATTTTGTCATCTTTCTACACAACTATGTATATATTCTGAAAATCGATCACTACACACTGTTGAAATTTTAATCCTTGTTTGTTCTTTCCCTTTCAATCATGTGATCATTATAAATGAAAGGAATATGTCAAAATTTACTTCAAGTAAGAAAAGTGTTTTTTTTTTGTTTTTTTTTAAATAGGATTTATATCTGTTTTTTTTTTTTAAAAAAACATCTTTTGATAGAAAATAAGAAACCCAGAAGAGCATAATATCACATACAATTTATACAGGGATATTTACATAGCAGCATCAATGACAAACATTAATCTTTTGATATTGAATATTAGTTTCAGCTTCATTTTTTTTTTCCCTAAAAGTAAAGAAAGGTTGAGAATAGAAACACCACATGGTTGTGTATCAGAAACAAATAGGAAAATTTTATCAATTTAACATCATATTATAATTTTGCTTGTTCAGAGATGTTGTTTAGTTTCAGTGAAAAAAAGAAAGAGAGAGAAAATAGATTAAGTATTCAGTAGAAAGAGAAAGGAATAATGAGGATTAGATTTTGAACAACGTTTATTGTTAGTATGCCATACAGAGATGTCAAAAGATGGGGGAATGTGCATTTCAGTGGCCATTCATCAGGATGGCAGCTGAGTGTAACGGTAGTGTCAGGAGTTGACATAATTCTTGTGAGGATTTGGTTTGAGATGACAGGATATGGTTGGTGCACATTTGGTTGATCAAAGTCACAGGTCATTTTTACTGGTTAATAGACCTGTTCTATAGAACAGGGGTAATGTCAGATTGGCATGGTTGGTATGCCTGTTCTCTTGAACAGGAGTGTGGTGGCAACTGAAAAGGGAATGCATTGTAAACAGGTTGAGCAGGCCGAGGTGGAAAGGTGGAAACGTTATCAAGTTGGTATTTGCCAAGATGACAAAGTAGTCTACGATGATGGTTTGCAGCTGGATGGTGTCGAACCTAAATAGACGCTTGTAGCTGGTGTTTGCTGAGATGACAAGGTCAAGATGTTATCAATACAAAACTGGATAGTCAAGGTGGTTAGTCAAGCCAGGGAGTGTTAACGGTCAATGAGAGGTGAGGTCTGGCTGAGAGGTGGCAGTGATGGTTATTGTGGCAGTAGCAGCAGCACCCTGCGTGACAGCCAGCAACTACTCAGAGACCTGATTTTCAGTTTCATAAACCAGACATGATGCATAAAGCCTAATGCACAAAAAGTAACTTCTCTTACTTCATTCTCTGCCTTTGCGGTGTTCATGTCTGGCCTGCATGCAGAAGGAATCAGAAAGAGATCTAATTGCAACAGTGTATAACAAGAAGCTGATAATGCTCTCATGTATTTAAGGTCTGCTTCAGTGAAATTGAAAACTTGTAATTTTAATATTTTCATAAGATAAGGAAATTTTCACAGGCATTTTGTAATTGCAAAACTTACAATGAGCTTATTCATTTATTCATTAAATATTTTGGTATATCAGAAAATTCAAATATGAAAACCATTAAATTTTCACAAGAACTACTATTGTTATTGAAACCTGTTAAATTTGTTTTCTTATTTGGTTCTTTCTTTAATCATTTTGTCATATTTAATTCATATTTTCAACTTTTGTGTGTGTGTGTGTGTGTATAATTATTATTAGTAATAGAATAATATAATTCACTTATGAATCTGTATTCCAAGTTCCAAGGATATATTTTTTTTTAAGACCCAATCTTTGCAAAACATCTTTTTACATCCAATCATTATAAAATGTCTTAAGTTTATTTATATCCAGATTGTATTTTTCTTTTCTCTTAAAAGAACAAAAATGTATCATTTTTATTATGGCGTAGAATCTTTTAAATAATTCTATAAATGAAAATTAATGTGTAATATTTTGAAGTTCAGTTATACTTAAATCGTGTATAATATTGAAGTTAAATACTATTAGAATGGTAATTCTTCTGAGTTTTGTTATTTGATTAAATTTAAAATTTACAATAACCAATCCAATTGTTGACACAAACTTTGAGGTGATTCATATGTAGTATAACATATACATTACACACACAGTCAAAATTCAGATGAGAGGCTTAAAAATCTGAATTCTGTTGATATACTTAGCACTAAGATATGCCTCTTTTACACGCACACAAAATAGTGTGAAACATGACCAGCTGAGAGATCCCTATCAAATTTTGCAATGGCTATCTGATTAAAGCAGTTAAGATTCCATCTCCATTTCAGCCTAAAAGGAAATTGATAGTTAAATTTGCAACCCATCAGCAACCAGATAATACTTAGAAAGTTTTTACCCTTTTTCCTATTTTCCCCTGGACATTTCACTCCTTTTTTTTCTAGTTCTCTTTACCAGTCAGATGGAGTCACCTGGTTCAGACACAACAATAAGTGTTCTGCATAGAGGCAGTTTCCAGTTAAAGAAGGGTAAACTCTCACCTGGCTATACACACACACACGATTTCAACACTGAATTTCACAGGTACAATAAGTTTACAGATAAAACTAAGTAAAAGATGTTTGACTTAAAGTTCCTAGATGTTCCCAAAGCCTGTAATTTATGATTAATAATATTGTAAGGAAAATACAGGAACAAGATTAGTGAAGAAAAGATTAAATCACATTATGGACATGGATTAATAATACTATAATAGTAAATATCGTTATTCAGTGTGGCAATGCTTATGACAACACTATGTCTCACAACCCACTTTTTGACCATGTTCTTAGGAGCAGACACTTCACTCATAGCAAATGGACAAGACTATGTTCAACAATTCTACGCAAAATAATACTTGTTAATGATTATAGTTTTTGGACTTTTATTAAAAAAAAAAAAAAAAAAAAAAAAGTAGAAACATAAATGCATTAAAAATCTTTGGATCTTTGAATTTTTTTTTTGTTTAAAATAACATTCAAAGGATTCTGCCTCACAGGAAAAATATAAACATAATAGATTTTCTTTCATTAAGATAACGAATATAAAAATTCCATTTGAAAATAAATGTATTTTTCTCAATTATTAAGATTATTAGTTACTTTGTGCTTTCTTATTAAATAAACAAAAAAGAATTTTCCAAGAATCCATGTTAATATTAATAAACATATTTAAAAAAAAAATGTAAATAGATATGGCATAATGATTGTTGATTCAGTTTTAAGTTGGAGGTCAAATTAGACATCCAGTGATAAGAATGAAGGCCTACCCATTAATATGAAATTAACTTAAAAGAAAAAAATATTTATATATATATATATATATTGTAGAAATTGTGGCCAAGTTAATATTTTCATATTTATTCATATTATTATTCCCCAGAGCATTAACAATTTGCTAACATTGAAAAATTAAGAAAATCAACCACAACTCTTCTTAATCAAATATTAATTCCTATAATATTGTTTTCAATGTTATCTTAATTATTTAACAGTTTGATGAACCATATTATATATATATATATATATATATATTCAAACAGGTTTGACACATTCACAGACAATTTATTCCCCTGAAGATGGTCTCAGATGAAATTGAAAGTACTTAGGAAAATAAAAACTATTTGAAAGAAAATTTTGGTATTTTTCTTAATCAAAAATCTAAGTCTATCAAGAAATTAATCCATGAATGACATGTGTCTAAATTATTTAATTAAACACACACACACACACACACACACACACATATATATATATATAATACAAATATAAAATTTGTCACTTAGTTGACTGATGTTATATTCAGCATTCCAACTCCAGATGATCCTTTTTTAAAATCCTTCAGTCCACTTGTCAAGAGGAATGAAGACAAAAGGAAAATTTATCTTAGATCTGATGGACTTTATCAATGCAAATGTAAGGATTTTAATTTGCAAAAAGTATTTATAAACAGAAGTAAAAATGTTAATTTTTCAGAATTTTTAAATTCAAGACCCATAAATATACTTCGGACTAACTGAAAGTCAATGGAGAATGCTCAATGAAGTAATGTAATGTCTAATAAACAAAAGTGAGTATTTGACTTGTTAAAGTCCATCAGAGGATGAAATGCATCAAGTAAGTTTTCCTTTTGTCTTCATTCATAGTATTTTTGTATATAACTAAAAATATAAGTTCTTAGGTAGAGCAACAGAACATAGTAGTGAAACAGGTTTACTCCAAAAACACCAAACAGTAAAAGACTTTTTGTAAATGATTTACAGAATGGAAAAGTAAATATCAAATATGTTCTGTCATTGGGCATGAATATACACAAGATCAGAATCCAGAGAAAAATCAAGAGCAGAATTACTTACTGTATTATTGTTGGTGGGTATATGTGAATAGACGCTGCAATTGGGTACAATCATAAAAGTTATTGTTCCAGTCATTGCTGCCTAGAAAAGATAAACATCACGGTCAACAGAAAAAAATGGGAAAAGAATTTTTTTTTTCTTTTTTACAAGAATCATTTTACTTGGTCAAGGAATTCTAACGTTACCCATTTTTTCATTATATAATTTGTAATATCAAAGAGAATAATAGTGTAGGGTAACAGAATAATTAACAAGCAGTATGTGAGATTGACACTTAGAAACTAATTTTACCTGCATTCATCTAATAATACTTGCATCTAAAAGTTACCCTATAAATCAGCAGATGAGAGAACTAAATATTAGCTGGTCAGTGGAGAAGAAAAAGGTGATAAGAAAATTATGCCATTCAATTAGAAGTGAAATTTAATTAATAGGTATATAAACAGCAGGTGATTTTACAAAAGTGAAGCCTATTCATTTAATTTGGGAAAAAAAAATGTGAAAAATTATGCAAAAAGACATGACAAAGTTTATTTTCTTTGCTATGAAACAGGCATATTAAAATATAAAGGAGAATCTGCAATGTTATTGCTCCTGGCATGGCATCTCAGCTTCAATTCACTTTTCTGCTGTTATAACATAACTTCCTTGTGCCTTTTCTATAAATATTTTCATGGTAATAGCTTTAATCTTTTGTACCTCAACTTTACAAATTTAACTGCAGTACTAGATTGGTAGTTAGCTTTCAGTTTAAATGGCTAGATGTAACTTTGATCTTTGAAAATTTGAATGAAATGTCAATCATTATCTTCTGTCTTAATTCCTGTTCTTTTATTGTTCTCTTTCTTTAATAGTGTTTTTCTTTTTCTTGTATTCTTTCACACTCAGTAATCCTTTGTGTCTTAGTAGCTTTATTGTCTTGCTTGGGGGGGGGGATTATTAAGAAACAGATAAAGATCCCAGCAGCAAAGTAAGCAATTTAGAACTTTTTACAAGAAAAGAATTTTGTTTTCTAGTTTTAGAAAACTTGCAATCATTATCTTGATGGAATTGCCAAAAATATTCTATTATGAGTCAAATCAACTGAAACTCTTTATAAAAAATTAAAAAATGAAAAATCACAAAAAGCCTCTTAATTTCCAATTAATGTAAAAAGATCTGTTTGCTTCCTTTCCACAGCGAGGAAACTATTTTTTTCAAATTAATATTAAACATTTAAGTAAATAATGTAAGATATATATAATTTTTACCCATACTTTGTGGTATAGTGGAATATTCAAAGACTGCTGAAAAATTTTCTAAGAATCTGGATTCTGTTTGAAATAAACTTCAGCACTGACTCTGATATTACTGATGTTTTTTATTACATCCTACAGAAGAGATCATACATGGGACCGAGAATGACTGTAGACAAAGATGAATCAAGAAATACTTACAGATGAATTATAGTTAAAACATTCTTAAATCCATTAACAAATTATTTTAATCTCTTTGATGAGTTGCATTGGTTGATACAGATACTAGATCAAAAATTAAAGACTAACCTACATGGCCAGGCGTTTATTTAAAAAAGATTTCATATACAAGGCTAAGAAAGAGTGAGGATTCTGTTGTTATCTAGCAATGAAGAAACATTTTCATTAGGAAAATGAATCTAAATATTTACCTTGCATTTTACAGGCTGAATATCATAGTTTGATAGTCTTGTTAGTAATATTATAATACAGATATTCCAATAAATTTGCTTTATATTAAATACTGAACTGTATAAGTAAAAAATCATATTTGTTTGTATAGAGGGCCAGTTTTCAATATCTTATATGTATTTTAAGTTTATTTTTTTTAAACAAAGGTTATTAATGGGTAAAAAAAAAAAAAATTCTATAAAGCAGTTCATGAACCATCTTGGTAAGGCAGGTAGAAGTATTGCAATCTTTAATAAAAAACAATCTAATTCTTTAGGGTTTAAATTAAACCACATTCCCAACTTGGATCTCTCATCATTCCTTGCTGTTTCCAAAGGGAAGTTGCATACAATAAGAGCTACTACACTACTGAAATATTTACTACATACAGAGATTTAAAAATAAACTTTCCAGAATATATCTTACTATTGGGTAACTAAAACTGCTCTCCTGCCATACTGGTTTGAAAAACAGTCAAATAGTAGTGAGTCAATTTAAATCTATTTCAAATCACTAACAACATATACAAGAATATCATTTGCTGTTTATATTTTTATAAATTAAATGCAAATAAGAACCCATTAAAAGTATTTACATACATGATGAGTTTAATACCTTTATGTAAATCAAATTTTGAAGTGGTTTTCTTTTTTTTTTTTAATGCTTTAAGGATACAATTTTATTGATTGCCGATTCATTTTAGTCTCAAAATGATTCCATTTCGAAAAGTCTCTCATTATTATAGATGCAATGCCAACTGATTTTAAAATTCCAATCACTGTTTTTATTTTAGTATTGATTTGTTATTGATCTAATCAATAATCCTGGCATCAAAGCAATCATCTAAAGAATAAGTTTCAGAAGCAACAGAGTCTCAGGAGAAAATTTCTAATAACATTTATATTTCGCTTTGAACATGAAAGGATATTTTTTGAAATGAATCACTTTATTAAAAGGTTTTCATATTCAAATCACAATTGCTATCAATATATTTCATGTCTGACACTAGAAATGGCATCTATTTGTTATCATTGTGTGGCTAATTGTAGAAAGAGGAATTTCATCATCAATCATTGTGGCTAATAAATAACATAGATCAAGATGAGTGGCAAGAGAACTGGAGAGAAACATTTCAAAAATATTAATACAAAATAACCTTAGATGCTTCAAATAAAATTGAACACTGTGTGCCAATTTACTTTACAGAGACTTTATATCATGTCTCAATGTGTATTTTTGCAGATACAATATTAGGAAATCAGTTTAAATAATTTTTTTCAAATATACATCACCTGATAATCACTATGCTACGATAAAAGAGGGGAACATAAACATAATTTTGGCATCTATTTTAGGCCAAACAATTCCAGGTAACTTTGTTGGCTAGTCTTTGAAAACCATATGGGAATCAATATAAGAGATGTAATGAAATCTTATAAAAAGATGCACAAGAAAAAAGGTAAAACTTACCAATAATTCTGAGACATAGTCTACAGATTTTCCTTTCATTTCTATTCCATTGATTTCAAGAATTTCATCACCTTCATGTAAAAGGTCTGTAATATTGAATAAAAAAAAGGGAACTATCAAATTAGCTCAGAGAAATGCTATTTGCAGGAAAAAAATAGAAATAAACAAAACTTAGAAAAAAAAACAGAGAGAAAAGAATTTAGTAAATAATGTTCAAATTTCTCTCCCCTTAAACTCAGAGCTCCAAAGAAATAAATGACGAATACCAGCAGCTTCTGAGTTTTGACAACAAATTTTCTTTGTTTTTCATTATTACATTAACAAGAATCAAAGACTAAGGTTTCTTGAAGACTAAGTTGGAATCAGATGGCTATTCTTTTCAACCTTGTGAAACTTTAACTTTCGGGTAATTTCACAAAGGTGAGTCATAAATATTTTTTTTATTTTTGTTTAATAACTTTATTCTTCAAATATAAAGTACAATTACATTTTATTCAATTATATATTCACCATTATTTGCAATTATTAGCAGGCAGCTATTTGATGCCTTTGAGTAAAATTCTGCAAGTTTTAATGCAAAATCATTTTTTATGAACTTTTGAGTCATTTTCATTAATGAACAAAAAAAAGTTGATACCAGATCTAGTGATATGGCAGATGAGTAGAATAGACCAACTGAGTTCCAAATTTTTTTTTGTGTTATTCTTGTGACAGATAAGTACAAAAGACCAATTGAGTTCCAAAATGTGCCCCTGTTTTATTCTTGCTGTATATGGCCTTGTGTTGCCATGAAGGAAAATAATATTTTCCTTTAATCAACTGTGTGCACTGCCATTGACATGCAAAAACTAACATATGTTAGTATTCTCCAAATTTATTTTTACAACCATGTATGGTCAATAGACAAGATGTTACATTTGTCACTACAACTGGTACCCAAAAATGAAAATGAAATGACTGAACCTTATAATTAGTGTCATCTCCATCTGGTATATATAATACTTTATTTCTTGTTAAATGGTAGGTTTGAAAGATAAATTTACTTAAATGTCAGTCAACATTTGGCATAATGGTTGACTCAACCAATCTCTCAGATTTGACTACAGTTTTTTCAACTGATTTTTGTTTCTTCTTCTCAATGACATGATTTCTTACAATGAAGGGTGCAGTTAATGCAGTGTTCATTAAAGTTAAATATACTCTGCTCATTGTTTTGATGAAGTGTTAAAGAAATCTGGCTCTACTCAAGAAGGGATTCCCCATAAAATTCTTAGGTTTGGACATTTGCTCAGATATTTGGAAATGGTTCAACTGAAGTTTTCAGCAACTTCTCATACAAATTTTATTTTATTTGAAAAAGAGTAAACAAAATTCTACTTAATTACAGTTTAAAAACAATAAATTGTTAAATCAAGCATTTCAGTGATACTAGATTAATGGTGTCCACTTGTATAAACAAATAGTGTATCATATGTAACTTTTCCTTTTTACTCTGAGAAGAAAAGAAAATGGCTGCAAACAACTCACCACTTTTATCGGCAGTTCCTCCTCTCACCACACGAGCAATCATCACAGACTCACCGACATTCTTGACTGTAGCACCCTGAAATTAAAGAAATAACTTTTAGACAATTTTTGATTCATTCATATTATTTTGGGGAGAGAGGAGTTTTTTTTAAATTATTATTTTTTTTTTGGATTGTCAATTATTTTCTGTGGTACATAGATAATTATAGATCAGGAAGTACACATTCCTTTATTGCATGGATAAAAGACAAATGCAACATTATTTTTGTCCCAGTTTATAAACTTTCAAATATGACAAAAAGTGTGTATACTTTTGAAGCAATTACATGACCTATAATAGCAGATCCTCTGAAAGCTTTTGGGTTTTAGGATAGTTTATTTATTCTTGTATTTTAAAAATCTGCTGAAATGAGAGAGAAGAAGAAAGAGAGAATGGAATATGCATTAAGTGTGTGTGTCTGTATATATATATATATATATATATATATATATATATATATATATATATGTAAGCAAATATATGGATATAAATCCGACAGTATGAAAGAAAAATACAGAAAAAAAAAAAAAATTCAGAATTTTGTTTTTTTTCTGTATTTTCTTTCATATATATATATATATATATATATATATATATATATATATATATATATATATCTGATATATATATATATATATATATATAAAATTTTAAACATAAAATTTAAAGTAATAAAAAATCCATTACTTTCCTTAGGAATATATATAAGATACAAAATATTTGAAACACCAACCTTTATGCTACCATGTTTTCTTCATATATATTATATATCAAAGGTTTTGCTTAACTAAAAGAAATGGTTGACCAGGTAATTTCTGGAAGATATTGTTTTTAAATTCTCAAGAGATAATGCATTAATAGTGATGAATTAAATAAAATGTTCACTTACAGATTTTCATTGGGATTACATACACTAATCAATTGTAAAATTTTAGAAATAAAGTCCTTTGACAAGTGGATGTGATCTCTGCAAAACTCATTGTGACAAGTAGGAACATGTTTTTTTTTTATCTTTTACAATATATATAAGGTTTGATAACAGCTGCTTAAATACTTGTATAACCAATGAAAAAGACATTTTGACAAAAATTTGACCAGGTAATTTTTGGAAGCTGATGTTCTTAAGGCTATTTGAGGGCTCAATATCAAGAGACAGAGATAGACCATTAATAGTAAAAAAATTAAATGGTCAACTATCCCGTGTCTATTCAGTTTCACAGAGAAAATACACTATTCTGTAGACTTGATTGTAAAACTGAAATTATGTTTATTAAATATATATATATATATATATATATATATATATATATATATATATATATATAAAAAAAAAAATTTACCCAACATGTTTCATCCTCTGAAGGATTTTATCAAGTCCCTTAGAGGATGAAATGTGTTGGCTAAGTTTTACATTTGTCTTTATATACATTGTCCTTTTACAGATATACCCTGTCTGAACACCCCCACACACACACACACATATTGTGTATTTAGGCAGCAATCCTTCATTTATGCAGGTTTCATTAAAAATGACAGACAAGGTACTACGGTTAAGCTTTTTATTTAATATTTCTTGTATTCGAACAAGTGCTTTCTTTTTGGGACACAGTGTGTAGAAACTGTCCAAATGTTCTATAGTTCAGAGTGCTTTCGGCTGTACTTTTAGTCATTATCAAGGATGACTTTATTTTTTTCAGCTTAATTGAGTGTGTGCATTATGTGTATGTTTTTAGCATGTTATAGAGATGTTTTATTTTCTGAACACGGTTAGCACATTGTGGCCTTGTTCATAGTTAATATTGTTAAGAGTTGTTTTTTTCTTTCTTTTATTGTTAATATATATATATATATATATATACGTATTTGAAAAGTTTTCTTTTTTTACTATAGGTAATTTATAAGGGGTCTCTATATTAAAAATTAAATCATCTCAGGAGAGAATTACAAGATTTTTCATAGAGAAGAAAAAAAAAAAATCAAGGATTAAAAGAAAGATCCATTAGATAGCATTTATGAATGGAGAAATGGCAATGGTTTAAACCAAATGATTTAGCAACTTGGATTAGTTTATTTGAATGAATGAGAAAGGAATCAAGTGATAAATACAAAACAATGGTAATCTAACATATGATTGCATTTAGGCTTGCCAATTGTTTTTGTATTAGGAATAGGCTCAAAATACATAACAAAATATTTATTTCATTTTTCTTTTTTACAGCCTGGTGGTGGTGGTTTTTTTACAAGATTAAGAAAAAATAATCAAGATTTGGAAAAATAAATTAATAACTATTTCCACAATATAAATAATATAAACATTCATTTAAAAAAAAATTAGGTAGTCAATATTTGACTAAGAAAAAACATTGAGTGACGTAAATATTTTAATCACCTGATCAAAGGTTTCAGTACTAAAAAAAAAAATAAAATGAAAAAAAAAATTCTTTTTCATCAACTTCAAAACATTTTTCTTTTTTTTCACTTTTTTTAATTTAAAAAAATTTAATGTTTTCCTTGACTTTGTATTCACATTTTTTTCCTAAATGTCTTTCTTTTAAATTGGTTTTGTGAATTTCCATTTTGACATTCTGATGAGATTGTGAAAAACATGGAAATCTCAACACAATTTACTTTGCTTGCTAATTATTACAAACAACTAGATATCTCAGAATCACTTAGTCTTTTTTTTTCTTTGGTGAATGTTAAAGAAGTTTGTTTTATTCAGATCTCAGGATAAAAAAAAAAGTATTAAATGATTTTCACCAATTGAAAATATATGCCTAAAGACTTGAAAACGTGTCAGAAGATACACAATGCATCTGAACCTTTCACAATCCATAAAAATAATAATGTTCAGATCAATTAAGACACAAGGAATATTTTAGTATTTGAATCTTTGTTGTTGCTTATCAAACTTTTACTTTTATTTGTTTGTTTAGTGGTATATCAACTCCTTATGGGTCATTTAATGCCGAAATTTAGTTTTCTTGGAACATAAGTAATTTCTTTTACAAAAATATATTGCTGGTAATTTGTTTTTTTTACTATGAAAGTGTATTGCTAGTATTTTTATACTTTCAGAGTTTAGAAGTTAACTATTTGCCCATGGCCGATGCAACCATTCCAGTCAGGGTAGGCATGGGAACAACAGTAATTAAGGGGTGCTTCCACACTCCTCAAAACCTCCCAATCAGAGGCTTTGCTGCCAGATGCAGTTTATCTTCATACCCAGGATGAAACTTAAAATGAAAGGATAAAATATGACATTTACCTACAGGCCATTACTAAAAATATCACTTGATTTTTTTTTTTTTTTTAACATCAAAAAGATCTTTAATTTAAAAAATCTTTTAACATTTTGTTGCTAATGGTAACACAAATAAATCAACTTATTTAAAAATCTTTGAGCCAGAAAACAAAAACCAAATTAAAATCTAAACTCACCAATGGTTCTGTCGTTTTCTCTAAATGGACAATCTTCACAGCTCCTTCTCCATAATCTTTAAAGGAATAATCCTCGGGTACAGGATCATCTTTCACATCGAAAGCAATTGCATTTTCTGAGAGCTGATCATGAACTTTTAATAAACTCTGAAAGAAAAAAATAAAATCTATATAGACATACATATATACATACATACATATGTATGTGTGAGTGAGAGAGAGATAGGGAGAAATGGAGAGAGAGAAATAAGACTAAAACCATTTGCTAACATTTGTACACAAACCAACCAACTCCACTGAATTGCCTTGAGATGAAGCATACTACATGGCATATGTTTTATTTTTCACTTTTTCCATCCACAAAACAGATTATTTCCTGCATTTTCACATTTTATTTTTTTTTTATCTCTTATCTTTCTCATACTACATGTTTTTCCGTTTGGATTACTATGCACATCATTACTGATATAGTCACATTTCAGCTGTTGTACCTCAGGCCTTCATCAGGAGAAGAAAGAAGGTGGCTGGAAGGTACAACAAGAAAAACATTACTGAGTACAGATGTAACAGGGCAGTGGCCCTGATAAAGTTATATTAGTACATGAAAAATTGTTTAGTAATTTGAGGTATTGAAAGATGTTCAGTCTTGACAAAAGGAGTAGAAATATTAGATGAAGAAAATATATGACAGTAGTTAATTGTTTTGGAACCTAATGGAAAAATGTTTGGTTTTAAAATATTAATGAGGAAGACATCAATATGATTTGAACCTAAAATAGGATTCAGTAAAATCCAGTATAACTGAAATTCCCTGCCTAGCCCCACAGCCCCAAGGAAATCATGATAATGTCATTAATGAGTTTGCTAAAATCCAGATGAAATTAGTAAATATTTTTTTGTAGTATACTATCTAGCAGAATTTTTTAAAATCATTTCATCCCAAACAAAGCAATAATCCCACTAAGGTGCAAGAGGTTAACAGGGAGTAAAAGATAATGAAAAGACTTTAGTGAACAATAAAGGAACAAGATTCAGAAAGACACACAATTGATGTTGCATTGAAATTTTTGAAGATTGTGTCAGGGAAGCAAGAAATCAGAAGAGAGTTTCATAGACAAGAAGTGCAAGTAAAGAAACTATTAAAATAGAATTGATGGTTTTGAACTAATTCAACAATAAAACAGTGAGACCTAGTTGCCAATCTAGTAACATGGTTAAACTCATGTAGTTGAAGCACTAAGGTAACACGCTCATCAGAACAGTTGCCATGAAAATATTTATAGAAAAGACAGAGGGAAGCCACATCACATCGGAGAGAAAGTGACTGAAGTCAATATGCTAGGTTAGGATAGATTATATTATAGAGAATTCTTTGAATTTTGTCAAGAATCTTAAGATATATAGTAGGAGCACCGGTCCAGATATGGCAGCAGTATTCAATGCACGAATGAATGGTAGATTTATAAATAGGTAAAATGTATTCTGATTCAATATAATCACTACTTCATGTTCATGGAAAATGTGAGCCAAGAAGGTGCAAAGAGTTGCTCTCATAGAGTCTAGCATCAAACAGGCTGATGGCAGCCATACAAGTTTTTCTATGGTGATTAAATCTTCTTCATTGATTGTTTTTATTTATTGTGCAGGTGTAGGAGCATCGTCCACATCAGTAGGCTCCCTTCCAGGTAACTGGCTAGCTGCACACATGGCAGTTCTCACTCCAGAAACAGGATCTGTTGATAAGTTTGCCATAATTCTAGTGGAATGAACATTTTTGACAGGATCACATGTCCTGGATGTCATCCCAACTCAGACTTTAACAGCAACTGAGGACTCCACTATTCCTACACTTGGGCATTGTGCCTTGACATTGTCCTCATAAAAGGATCATCCACCAAACCAAAATATTTTTCCATAGCCGAAATCCTAACAGGTGCTACCATCCCAGTTCAGAGTGGACCTGGGAACAACAGAAATTAAGAAAGCAGTTTTGGTTTGGAGGCATTAAAATTTATAAGACATTTCTTGCTCCAGTTAACCAGTGATTGGAAGTACATTTTGAGAGCCAATCCTAGTTTTATTGATCTGATGGACTTTCTATGAAGGAGTAAATAGTTGTGTCACCTGCATAAATAATTGGGAACTGATGGCATTGGAAAAGTCATTGATGAATATCAGAAACCATGTAAGTCCAAAGATAGAGAGACCCCTATATTAATATGAAATGATCTAGAAGCATACCCATTCAACAGAACTTTCATTACACAATTGGAATGACTAGATTAAGCCAAATAGGTGTCCAGTGACACTGTAGTCCATGAATGTGGAGAATGCTATCATGCCAAACACTGTCAAAAGTCTAGAGCAATAACCAGATCTTTTCCGTTCTCATCTAAAACTTGATAGACAAATTCGGTGATAGCCATTAACACATCAATGATAGAGCTAGCAAAACAGAAGCCATATTGTTTATCAAAAAAGTGTTCATGTGAAGTAAGATGCTTAACCAATTAAGCATTAATTAGAGCCTCTAGTAATTTGACAAAAAGAGATAACAGACTAATAGGGTGATAATTTTGAGGTGTCAGAAGGTTCTCCAGAGTTCTTAAAATAAGGAACTACAAAGGAACACAGCAAGCTGGAAAAGCAAGAAGCAGCAAGGTAAATATTGTAAAGTTTAGAGAAAACAGCAACCAGTTCAGGAGCACATTTCTTTAGGACAATTGCAGGGGATACTGTCAAACTCAGCAAAGCCTCTTGTGGGGACCTAATTTAGAAATGATAGCAGAAATCATAGAGTTATGCACATATCACTCAGTAGAAAATATGTTCTAGGGAGTTGATGAGTTGAGAGTTGGAATAGAATTTCCAAGCAAAGCATTCTGCTTTATTTGCAGTAGATGTCAAATTGATTGAAGAGAGAAGAGACTGAGTATTTGCTTTTGTTCAGCACACTTTTACAAAACCACCAGTAATCTCTAGAACCAAATTCATGGGAGGCTATATGATATTTCATTCTATCAGTGAATATTGACCTTGACTCTTTGAGAACATGCTTACACTCATTATGAGTGGTGACAAAGAGACATCTGTTACAATTAGACTGATCATTCTAGTATAGTAGGATACCTGTCTACTAGGGCGGCTAGCCAATCCCTATTGCAGACACTTGCTCAGGTGCATTTGTGTTTATTCAACACCTACAGAGCCCACCTATGGTTTATACTGCAACTATGCTGAGCAGACCATAGTTACAGTTTCTGGGAAAAAGCATGTTATCTAGCATTATTAACAATTTGAACAAGGCCAGCATGCTCAAGCTCTCGGCCATGATGACTTGTGTCTTCATGCTAGCACAGCTATCGACAGCACTTAAGGGTTCCATGTACACAATTTCACTCACAAGGCTTGGGTAAATCCATGGTATGGTTTTCAGGCACTTTCCAAAGGTGCTGCATGCTGGGATCAACCCCTCCAGTCTGATAACATCAAGAAGTCTCCTTCCTGAACAAATCAATCATGGTGAGATTTGAACCTGATTCTCATTGTCAGAATGCAAACATTCTAATCACTCAGCCATGTGCCCATTATTCTGGCATAGCTGGAAGAAGTAATTCCTGTGTGTTACAGCACATGAAGAGGCAGAAGAGAACCAAGGAAAAGATTATATGTTTTACTTGTTATTTCTGTATTGGCATGAAAGCTTTGATGGCAGCTTTCACCCAAGAAGAGACCTCAGTGGCATATTTCTCAATAGGATGATTAAAAATATTATTCCAAGGGGCATCATGAAAGAAAACCATTCTGCATAACATGCATCTTGATATGACTTCTCATCCGCTTAGAAGCCTGTATAGAGCTGAAATGATGACATCCTTTCAGACACATGTCACACCTAGCATCCTTTCAGACGTCTCCTACACCTCAGTTGACAGACAAATAAGCAAGGGTGTTTTTGGCACAAAGTACACAGACAAGATAAAACAAATGAGTCACATTCTAGTACCAAGTAACAAGAGTAGGACAAAAGAACAAACAAATCAACCGACTGACCCTGCCATTACCATCATCACGACAACTAGAATAACTGGTAGCATTATAAAAACAAAGATCAAATCCATTCTCAATTAACATTCCAAGAAATCCAGCAGATGCCACACTTAGTTCAACCAACACCATAAAGTACAGCCTTTCTCTTCAACATCTATGCTGCTGACATTAGCTTGGCATTGAATAATGTCTAAAATACAAAAACTTGACAATTGCACACTGTAAAAAGCCTTTTTCGTTTAAACCATGGAAATCTGCCATTAAAATACAAGTAATTGCTTTAATAAAATGAAATTGTTTTTCCCGGAACTATTCCTATTTTGGGACCATACCGAGAACAAAATCTAAGAAAAAAACATAAAATTAATGTTGACAGGTTTATTACACATACTCTGGAAACCCATGAACCTATACAAACATGGATATCCAGTGCAATATGTGTCTTCTGCCTCCTTAGTTTGAAAATTACTGCTTGGTTATTACAGCTCGTGAACTCATTTTTTCATATAAATTTAAATTCCTTGTTTTTCTTTAAAATGTTTTTAAGATGGACTATAAAATTATTTTTCAGCTTCGTATAAATTAAAAAAACAACATACACTTTCTTTCATAAACATATCAAACATGATCTTTCATTTTTACATAATTATTTTTTTTATTATTCCTTCTTATATTTAGTAGGTACATGTTTGAGCAGATATCCCTGTTTTTCCTAACAGTGAAATTAATATCTGCCAGCCTAGAGATTGAGAAATCTTAGAGAAAAGTTGGTTCCAAATAGAAAACAAACCTTTATTTCCATATTCGATAGGAAAAAAGCCAATGGGTATTAATTTCACTGCTTAAAAAATAGGGATATCTACTCAAACAATAAGTAAATATAACTTATATTAATAAGAAATAATGTTGAATTTTGAAAAAAATCCACTGTTTAAACATTACTTTGTTTCTAGTATAAAAATAAATCTAGCAGATATAGATGTTAAAATGGCTCAATGAGAAATGTGCATTTCTTAAGTAGGATAACTGAAACTTGCTATGAGGGTTTCCTGTGGCCTAATGGCAAAGGCACACAGCTTAAAAGTTGCTTCTTTGAC